AACTAAAGAATCCTTTACAAGCTTTGTGTTTGTTCAAGGGATTGTCAATTTTGCTTTGTCATGCTTTTCCATTTTCGCTGAACTAAAAATTGGCATTTCTGAAGAACATATAACCACATCATAATACTTAGATCAGTTCATTCATCGCTGAAACATCATATTCAGAAAAGAACATGCCTTGCATTAATGTCCTGTAATACTTTTGGAACAGTTATTAACCAGTTACTACAATACTAAATCAAAGACGATTTATTTCAAGATGTCTAGATCCTCTAATTTTACTTATCCACATTATTGGACCTGTCACCAGTACAATATCACACAGCTCAGGAAAATTCTTCAAGTTCTGACCAGTTTATACTTTGGAGGATTAGAAAATATAACTGACAATTGAACATATGTTAAGAAATTCCACGACTCATAAGCTATTACGAAAGAGTTATAAATGAGATAGAACTCTCAGATTTTCGAGACTGACATCCTCATTCTTGGTAGAAAACTGGCAAAAAGGGGTGTCTCTTGCCTTTTAAAAGGAAACGGACCATATTCAACTTTTGCTAAGGTTTCTATATTTGGTTCTGTGGATTACTATAAATAAGTGACATCTATATGGAGCAGATGAGAGAGCTATGAATGCCTCAAAAAACTCTTCAGCAGATCAAATGACTATGTAGTAGCAGAATCTACTGATAGTGAAAGTTATGAACAAGTCAGCATATAGAAAAATGTTAAAATGGAGATACATCGAGTGGAGAATTTAATATGGTAATGTTGTTGGAGACTTGATTGAGAAGAAAGCAACTATGGATATTTTGGTTCATGTACTTGTCAAAGAGACTAAAATAAGACCTCAAACTCCAGCAGAAAAAATTAGAATAGAAAAGGCTTCAAGTTAGATTTTGAAAGCACTAAAAAGCAACTTTATATGTCCCAAACAAAGATTAAAATTGAATAAATTTTGAAGCATAATTTGCAGAACTAAAAGTATCTATCTAATTGGTTAATCAGCTAAGGGTTTCCTTGCAACTATCTTCTATCTTAAACAAATAACACAAAGATGTGTGCTAGGAAAGAAAACATATAAGGTGTTGTGATCTCTAAAAACTAGCATCCTAACCAGTCAGGATAAAAGAACACATGGCAACATTCAACTCCAGTTATGTCAGTCAAAACCATCTTTCTCCTTTAACTTTGAGTTTCACATGAAAATAAAATGTTGCTTAATAAACTACAATGAAGAGATGTTTAGAATATAATATGCAGTTTGAAATTTGAGATTCAGTGTTTGACTTACCAGTACCATGACAATCAAATTCAAACCACATATATTCACCAATTATGGCATATAAATGAAGGGGCATAATTAAGTTGGAAAACCAGTAACCCGCAGTGAAGGAACAACACCAACGAAGAACAGACTCAAAGGAGAAAACAATAAGAAAATCACAAAAGCAGAGATCAAAAGATAAATATAAAGAAAAATAAGAAACTTACTGTGTTTCTCGTCCGGATGAAATGAACTGATCACCAAATTTCTTTGTTGGAAAGCTAGCGACTACAACTGGTTCCAACCCATGGATCCCGCGTTCAAGCTGTTCAATGAACAAAAAAGGAAAAAAGTGACCATTTGCAGAGCCAACGAGTATCATTCATCAAAAACCAAAGGCTATACAAATTAATCTTTTCCAGGGCAATCCAATGCTTCAAAAACTCTAAGACAGTTAATTTTGCGTGTCCAGGCAGTCCAAAAGAGCGAAGAAATGATCAAAAGAACAAAATGACACGTACATATAAGAAGTAGAAAAATCAAACTCTACAAACTGCAGTAAAATTAAAGAAAGGAAAACAATATTTCCAGTGAGCCAAGACCGCCCAATCGTCATCATGAACATCGGTATGGACCCAAGTATACCAAAAAAACCAAATACAAGAATTCTTTTTTCCCCGTTTCAAACTTATATATGTCTTGAGATAAATCAATTCTGGATAATGTTTGAACGTTGAACAAAACCTACTCCTTCACAACGAAGTACTTTGAAAGGACATATATTGTTTCTGGTACAGGTAAGACTCTCCCTTTATCCACAGAGCCAAAAGTAACACAAGTTATTGCCAACTACACGACTCGAAACAATGCCTCAAAAACACCAAGTACACGGATTTCTCGGCTTACGGAACAGAAAAAAGGAGAAGGGTGACACAAGGAAACAAACAGTGCACGAACTTACCATGCCGAGGTCGGATCTGGCGGCGGCCGCAGCAGCAGGGAGAGCCATTCTGGAGTTCCTGAGGTGAATTCTAGCGCAGATGAGACGGGTGCAAACGAACACTATGAACATGGTGCTCACCGCGAATCCGATCACCGTCATCACCAAGTTAAGCCCCGGCGAGATCATGATTCCTCCCCCGACTATTCCCCACTTCACTTCACCTTCCCCTTCCCCTTCAAAATACACCGCGACTACCGTCCATGAAGCCGTTCCGGATCAGCGGTGTCGGAAAATTGCGTCGATCACTTGAACCCTAGGCGGCGTGGGCGATAGGAGGGGCAGGCGAGGAACTCCGCTTCCCCGCAATGGAATAATCCATGGAGACGGAGAAGGAGAAGACGAAGGGGGAGGAGAGGAGGCCAAAGGGATCCGTGGTGGAGTGAGGAAGGAAGAGGCGATTAGAGGAGAGGCGAAGGCCCGCCGATCGAGACGGCGACGAAGAAGCAGCAGCACAAAGCGCAACTTGCCACGGGCTCGTGTTTACTCCCAACCCCACTAACCATCTTTCATCGCCATTATGGTTTCGTTTATCTTTTCCAGGAGCCTTATCTCGGTTTAGAGTAACCATTTCATCCGCCCGAGATATACGAGAAGAACATTCAGGGGCGATGTGGCCTTTTCACTGACCCTACGTGTCTTGGCAGGTTTCGGAGGTGACGTCGCTCTGGAACATTTTCAGGGTCGATTCAGCCGCACCTGTGCCCGCATTCGTTTCGAATAATTTAGGACCTCTTTTTTTATTGGTATGACAGCATTTTATAATGTCTTATATAGTGTGTATGACATTGATGTAGATATATACAGAAATACTACAGCTAGCTGTGAATGCACTCAACTAGCCATACTGATATGGACATGAATTGATTATTTGCTTGTATAATTGACCAACAAACAATTTAAATGCTAGGGGTGAGAATCTCTCTAGGTGGATTCACAATTAAGTTTTCATTTTTTTTTTATTTTCTTTTAATTTTGTTATGTATAAATCCCTATGTACATGATGGGTGGTCCTAACAAGTATTATAATATAACCAAATTCTAAATATATTTTTTGTGTTGACTAGTGCTCCTATTTCATACTTATCCATTCTTTATTGTATTATATATATATAAATATATATATAACACAATATTGAATGTATTATTTGTTATCTATCTTGGTTAGTTGACAATCATTTAAATATTAGACCAAAGATACTGAAATTTAAAATTAATATAAATATTCTTAAACACCAAAAATGTTTTATTTCTATAATTAGTGTATCATTTTTTATTTTTCTTGGATGAATGCAAACAGGGAAATTCTTAATATTTGGAGTAACATATATGCTAGGGTAAAATGTGTAAGGATAAATATCTTATTTAATTTATTTTAAGGATAAATATGTGAAAACCTTAATAAAAAGGGGGAGTTTGAATGGGAGGGATCATAACTTTTATAGGTCAATGAAAGCACTACAAATTAGTATTACTTATGTTTTATTACTTTCTATTTCCAAATATAAATACTTTTAAATGCTCCTTGAAAAAGAAAGTTTTTTGGTAGATTCATTTGTAAATGATCATTGATTTTCTCAACTTGTCATTATTATTTTTGAATAGGAAAATAATTCATAAAAGGAAGGTGGACATATATGGAACAACCTCTTGGCAATCATAGTATAGTAATAAGAATAATAGTAAGAGTGGTAAATAAAGATATCATGGATACGTGACAGTATTGTTCTTTCCTGATCATCTTGGTTTTGCCTACTGATGTGATTGCTTGTGGCAGTCTTTGTTATATGAACCAATGTGCTCTTCTTCATCACTTGCCTCAGTATATACAATTCTAAGTTATGGCACCCAATCCAATCCAATCCATTATCTTCTCTAACTAAAGCGATGGATGGAATGCGAGGTAGGATTGTTTCCATGCCGTCCGTACATTCGTGTGGCTACGTTTTTTTGGGTGAATTAGGTAGATAGGGAATCGATATATCATCAAGTGAGGACACAAATTGAGCATCTCCCGTTAGGCTTCCGATTTGGAGGTTGTGGCTCGCCTTCCTTGAGAGAGATTTAGTGTACTTAATTCTCGGTCAATTTTGACCATTAATGGAGAATCTTGTCGCTGTCACTTCTCATTACAAGCGTCGGTTCTTGATGAGACCTTTCGAAGTAAGCATAATAGTTCAGTTGTGGTTTGACATAATAATTTAAGAAGACTTAATTTCTTTCCCACCATGGGATAAAAACTTATCAGGAATTGTTGTTTTCATGGGAGGGAGAGAGATTTGACCTTTCAAGGAATCTTTCGTCAACCCAAGAATGAGAGATATGCGTTTGACTTTTCAAGAATTGTTGTTCTGAGCAGTTTATGCATTTTTTGGGTCAACTATAAAATAAAGAATAAATACTTTATTATCGAACATGAAGAACTTCGTGCTGTAGTAACATAGGCCATGTTTTCTTCTTCTTCTCGGCCTATTCGGTACACAATGCCCTCAAATTTAATGTTGACTCTTCTTTTCATTGGTCCATTTAACAGCCCAATAAATAATTTTATTTGTAGCATAAGAGATGGGGTTGACCGTTTTGGAAAACATATCATAGTGCTTAGTTCACTATTATATGAGTCTTACGTATGTCATTTAATCTAATAATTTTTTTATTTAATTAATATGAAATTAATACAATTCAATAATCATTGCCTATATATATATATATATATATATATATATATATATATATATATATATATATATATATATATATATATAAAGAGTTATTGCGTCACGAATGGATCGTGGACAGTGAATCTAAATGACGAGGAACAAAAACGCTTCGTTATGGGTAGTTAGTCCGCCCATAACGACAGGTCCATGTGGTGTTCGTCAACCCGATCCCAATCGAACCCTGTTTGCATGGCCAGTGGCGTCAGCAGCATTCCTCTCGCCATGTCATCCAGCAACCCTGGCATGTTGAACAGCGCCTCCTCATCCACAAACAAAGCGGATGGCATCCAAGCTGCGGCCTCCGGAGCTGCAACCGCCTCCCTCCCATCCGTTGCCGGTGTTCTTCCAGCTTCTCCTGGCGCGGCAGGCGGCATTGTCGACGACGATGAAAACTGCTGCGATCTCGTTTCCGAAGCGCCAAACATCTCGGCAGCCTCTGCAGCGGCGCGGCGGACGTCCTCCGCGGCGGAGGACGTCGCTCGCGGCAGAACCCAGGCCGAGTCTGGGAAGTTGAGGTGGGCCGATTCGCCCCGGAGCGCGATGGCGGCCACGTCGTGCGCTCTGGCAGCCACCTCCGGCGTCCGGAACGTTCCCAGCCAGATGCGGCTTTTCTTGCGGGGCTCCCGCACCTCGCATACCCACCTGCCGCCGTTGCGCTCCCGCACGCCGTGGTACACCGGGTGGCGCGTCTCCCGAAACTTCTTCCGCCCAGCCTTCCGCTTGGGTGAAGGGGCCGTGGCGCGTGAGGCCGGCGCAGAGCACGCGGTCGAGAGGCCCGAGGGGAAGCGCTGATTGGAAGAGGAGGTCAAGGAGGAGGACGACGAGCACGAGGAGGAGGACGCAGAGGAGGTGGAGGAGGAATCCTCAAAATCCATGGGAGTCAGTAATGAGGAACAGAGGGCGGCGACACAGGGGGGTTTAGCTTCCCTCGAGGCTCGGCGTGCTTAATATACGCTGACGGAGCGGTCGGACAGCGTTTGGGCCATGTCGAAGCCGACAGCGGGTCGCACACGCGAGAGACGTGGTACTGACAAAAAGGCAACCGGGGAGAAGTAATAGGGCAGCGTCGCCACGAGAGGAACAGGCAACGTGGGACGGATCGCGGCACCCGGTAAGGAAAACGTGTTCCTTATGCCCCGTCCTCATCATGAGAGTTCATTTTGGCCGTTGGATCACCGAAGACTCGTGGGGCTTTAAGATTCGAGAACAGCTGTGTGATACGTGTCGATGTTCCAGAAAGCCGCCTCCGACTGCAGCGTTTGCGAACGGGGTTTGCCGCACGACTGGGGCGTCAACCAAGAGAAGGGCCACCCCGCTTCTGTCAAGCTCAAAGTCGTGAGGTAAAAGCATGCCTGGGTGGGTCGACGACTTAGCACCCACCATCTCCGCTCCGCTCCGTCCGTGTCTATGGTGGCCGACAACACACAAGTCTCTTACATCTTCACTTCACACATGAATATTATCAAACGTCCATCATCGATAAGCTTAAAATCTTTATCAAGAATAATAAATAATACATGAGTTACCACGTCCAAAGTAGTTGTGTCATTTTATGGGGTAGGTTGAGTTCTTATGGTCACGTCAGCCATTGTCCGCCTTCCGTTCGCTGAAATGACACAACAAGTTGCAGAGCGTTGGTTGAAATGACACAACGAGTTGGAAAGAGCTCGTCGTCGTCCACGAGAACCTCAACGAAGGGAGACGGTAAAATGGACGGAGCACAATTGCAGACTAGAGAATCCAAAATTGGCTTCCTTCGAGTCAATGTGAAAGTGGTAGGGTCGGTGCTGGCCAGCCCTGGATGCATGCATAGCTTCAGAGCCTGCCAAACTTGTGTTGCTAGCCTTTATTTCTCAAAGAAAGCATGCAGCACGAGGATGATCAGAAGCAAGTTGACTGAAGAGAGCAACAAAGGATCTCCACTCTGGAGTATCTCCTGCACTGCGTGTGGATTACCGAAATGTTAATAGATGTTTCAAAGATTAATCGATTATTTCTTTTCGTAAATGATTAGTGGTGAGGATGCGATTCCCATCCGTAGAAACAATGGTAAGTTAGACATCATCCTCCATTAATCAAATTACTCATCACCTAATCCAATCTGATTGTGCCTTTGATCGAACATGAATCATTCGATCGATCGATCAAAGCTATCAAACCATCTAATATGTCTGATTTGAACTAACAATGATCCATTAAGCGGATATGACAACTAAACCTAGACGAGATCGACATTACCGTAGCGATTGGAAGCCGGACCTGCGTTTGCCGCCCGTTTCCATTTCCTTTGCAGCATCCACCTCGCGGCCGGCGGCTCTAACTGGAGCTGCCGCCACGGTAGGCTACCAGAACACCGAGTCCTGGGTGGTCGATCCCTGGTGCATGGCCGAATCCCTGGAACTGATGGCCGGGAATGGCGCAAACCGACATAGACGACTGAGACGTCGGCCTCAGCGTAAGCGTGGCCCAACCTGGCGAAGAAGAGCAAACAATCCTTAGTCGACGTCTGCATGCATCATCAGTTCACGTGCGTGAGCCCGAACACGCATTATAAGCGGATTCATCATCTGAAACGTCTCGTCGACGTCAGAGTGAGAGCGATCATGATCACCTCAAGAGAACCGCTCTTTGCAGCCAAAGCTTAGAGGCCATGCATAAAACTTCCTGTAGAATTACGAGTTGCGGATATGACGTTAATAGCACAATCAAAATGCTCTCAGCAGCAGATTCAACATGAAGAGGAACTGCTCTTTCCAGCCAAAGCTTCGGTTTCCAGGATCATCTTTCGTTGTCGTCTAGGGTGTTCAACGAATGCACCCTTTTCTGCCATATACATGAAGCTCGTCGTCTTAATTTAGCAACTTAATGAAGCTAAACATGAAGGACAAGCCTTCCAAAACAAATGGTGAAGGGACACTCATCACTTTCACGGCATGAGATGACGCCCGACACCGTCGACAAGAAACAGTCTTGCATGAAGTACATACAGTGTGATCTCAGAATCACGAAAGATCCATCTCTATGCGCTGACACGATCGAGAGCGCATGTCAACCTGCAGTAGGATGTAGCAAGCTCGATAGTCTCAAGATTTAACACGTTCTTCTGATATATTAATCTAAACAGTAGCACAACAGCTAGATAAGCCTCTCCCACATAATAGCACTTCTATCATTGGCTGTACAACTCCAGTTCTTGATCTGGCAAACAAGTCATCATCCAGGCACTTCACAGTAACATATACGTGAATCAAAAGGAAGTTAAAGGGTTTCTGCTCGCATCTTTAAATGCTTTCTTCTCTAAAGCAAACACATTTACAAGATGAATCTGCAGCAAAGTACTATTATCAGAAACCCTGGACTGGACTTGATCTGTTTCTTCTGTTAGCTAAAGTTTACTAGTTAGTAACTTTGAATAGCATCTTAGACATCATAGCAGCTGAGGAACCGAAGCAGACAGTAGCAAAGGCACACCAAGCCTGCATAGATCATCTACTTCTCGTTTAATTTCGGGTCCAAGAACTTAATTCCTAGAAATAATTTTTTTCTGGTAATATTGACTTAAGATTCAGTAACTATTGTCTGCCAAATGTATCTTTTTGAGTTGCTCGGATGAACTTGCAAATTTACATTTGTTATAGAACACAGAAAGCAAGATATTGGCAATGAATAGCTGGTTACAGAAATAAAAAGAGAAATCAGAATGCCTACAGTGCTTATGTTGCATCAATACAGTGCAAATTCTATCCATCCATCCGTCCATCAACAAGCAAAGACTGAAGCACAAATATTCCGTGCTGATAGAGCAACTTGCATTCTTCCCCTTCTTTCATCTGATGAGGCCGTCTCCTCCAATTACAACCATTGGAATGCAAGACATATATACACTCTCTAGCTGATCCATTCGATATCCAAGTTAATATAGCTCTCTCTCTCTCTCTAATTATAAATGGAGCATCAGAAAACTCAATAAAATTAACTTATATAAAGGCTGTTAATATAAAACTCACTTATATAAAGGTTGACAATATAAAATTCTATTCTTAAGTTATTATTTATCAATGGGTTGGGGAGTGTAATAAGAAATAAAGAACAGGCGAGGGTGTGATTGCTAAATAAACAAACGCTATATAAAGGGCAGCGCGCTCTATCCAACCGTCTCAATTCGAGGGTTCGAGACGACATAACACACCAGCGGACGAGACGTAGATCCCCACCGGTGATCGCATTGGTGGTGGCGGCCTCGGAGATGAATCGGGCGTCACCATTCCCGCTCCGTGCAAGGTCAGAATCTGCTCTGGTCCTCTTTCGATTCTTTATGGCGGCAGAAATCGGCATCCCGGTTCGTTTTGGATGAGGATTAGGGTTTCGACATGGCTGTAGGGTTTTGTTACGGTCCCTCGATCGCTGGACGTTCTCCATCTGTGCTTACGGCGTAATCCTTTTAGTTTGTTGTCGTTTGTGATTTATCCTATGTTTCATCTCTGATCCAAGAAAATTCATCCGGGATTTCGCTACCTGACCCAGAAAAGAGAGGATGTTGAGGCTTCAAGATCCAAGGTATAGGATCATTCTGTCACTGTCTTTTTGGCTTGGGCTTGTAGATTTCTGAGAGAGCCGCGGCAGAAGACTCGCAGAAGGAGGACGAGGTGGCAGGGACATGTTACCTTCTGCTGCCACCGCAGCGGCCAAGTTGAAGGACCATCGATCCGATCGGCATCGTGACCGTGTCGTCCGTTGGTCCCGCCGTAGCAGCTTGAAACTTGAACAGAAACAGGCCTCGGCCGGAGCACGTCCATCAAGCACAGAGACTCCGCCCCCTGCCGCTCAGATTCCGGTAAGCAGCTTCACAATGAATCCCCATCTACCATCCCATGGCCAAGACATCATACTGATGCTTGGTGAGTCACCTTTATCACTCTGGCAAGGTGGTTTTGAAGACACAACACTCGGGTCTTCAATCTTCTTCAGAAAGCCCTTTGTCTTCTTATGGGCTGGAATTGGTTCGTGTCTCTTGACAATTCAAGGGCTGCTGAAGCTAAGGCTCTGAATGAAGATCTCATACTTTCGCCTCTTTTTTAAATTGTCCATAACAGTTGCATCGAGAAAAATGCCCTGTTTAGTGCAGGCATACAAGAAATGCTTAAAGATTAGTCCGTAAATCACCTTTGGCTTCAATTGTTTTTCCAAAGCAGACTGAACTTCCATTTCTTATTTGCTGATATTAGCTCTACAGTTGTGCATGGGTCGTCTTCTTCCTGCAATTGTTTTTGGTTAGTCTATGCCTAGAATTGTGTGAAAATGATCTGTTATAATGTCATCACATTTTGTTTTTGACAATCGATACCGGAAAGCTAGATGCATTATTGCAGTTTATCACTAGGGTTAGGTAATTGCCATGAGAAAGAAAAGCAGATATTGGGAACATGTGATATAGATTAATACCTGGAGACCCGAGTATGATCAAGTCCCTAGAATTTTGGCAAGTTTATGGCTAGTTTTGTTGTGTTATCCATATGCCAACATCTTCATTTTTTTAATCTTACACTCTTGTTGATCTGAAAGCTATGGTTTATCGTGACAGGTTCTTTTGCAGTATGTTAGTAATGCATTAGCTTTGTTTCATTTTGTTACATAAGCTTGTAACTGAGTTGCTTTGTATATGAATCTCAGCAGAATAGTTTCAATCTTGCAAAATGTGGATCTGGCTTTTCTTTGTTATGAACATAAGTATAGCAGTCACATAATCTTACATTATGCTGGTTTTTTTAATGTGGATTATTACCTGAGGAATTCCTTTCCGACGAAAAAACTTGTGAAGGTATGATTTTGAGTCTCCAAGCAACTTTCGTTTCTTTTTCTTTTCTGAGGCAAGCTTTGAGCAACACTTGTGATTTCTATTGTTTGGCAAAAATAGAATTGGTGTCATCAGGACTCTAGCTAGGCAGCCACACAGCTTTGGATTCCAACATTGAGAAAGCTCTTGGAACTTCCCTAGAATGAGTAGCCCTTGTTCATGATTCCTTTGCAATTCATTTAGTCTTTGTCCCGATTGTATGGGTAAAGTGCTTTTTTTCTCTTTTAACAGTAGAATCTGAGAGCGATCCATACTTGAAATAGAAGGTCAAGCCTGAAAAGTCTGTACGGTAAGATGTTAAATCTTTTTCCCGATTGTATGGGTAAAGTGCTTTTTTTATCTTTCTTTTTTCTCACATGGATTTTCGTCTCTTCATAAAAGTGTATCAGTAGAATCTGAGAAGTATCCATCCGTAATTGAAAGAGATGGTGAAGCCTGATAAATCGGTACAGTAAGATGTTAAGAGTCATGTTCTGTGTGGCTTCTTAGGTTGTGCATATCTCTTCCCACGCTATTTTGCAGATTGGAGAAGGATTGCAACCGTATCTTCCATACACGGTGTTGAACTTATGTACCGTTGTTGGTGAGTCAGCTTGGCCTGGTTCATGGGTTGACGTCGGGAGCTTGCAATCGATCATCAGGATCGATCTAGTCCGCAAGTCGGGATGCCGATGCTATCTGAGAGAGGGTGCTTCTCGATCGGGATGTTGACGTCGTCTTCGGGGAGTACGTCTCTAGATCGGGGTGGACGGACATCCGAAGGCGGCCTCAGCACACAAGGCCCTCGTCGGGTGGTTCCCGACTTTGGCCCATCGATGATGAAGTTAGTGATCATTCTTCCTTTCTCTCTTTTTTGCCTCCCATTGGTCATATACCGGTCAGGAGTTTTTATACTATTGTATAAGGGTCGGTCGTACGCGGGTTTGGCGCGGTAACCGATCCCCAAGGGGTGAGGGTTTGTGCGGCCATCATTCCGGAATGCAGGGAACAGTGTCATATGGCGTCGTCCCGAGCTTTCTAGGACGGGATGTGTCGAGGAGTGCCTTGGTACGGATCTTGTTTGGTGCGTGAAAGTACTCATCGAGCTGACTTGGTGAGGGCGTGGTGCGCGTCGATTGCGACGTGGCCGGAACCCGAAATATGCCTCATCACATGGTGTTCGACAATCCATCACGTTTTCGTTTTTTTCTCAACGCTGGTGGTGATGCCTGCAGTTTAAAGTCACAGTAATTTTTTATTGTTTTCTGTGGTTTATGATTGCATTATCTTTGTATGGTTTTCGTTGAAATGATCCTCCAGCTGTTTGATTGTTTCCAACCCTGCATCGGTCATGGGATAAAGATGTATCGTATTGATCTGAAGTCAGGTCGCTAGTTATTTAATTCAGATGATCGTACCGGTTTCGTATGGTGTATATTTCGGGAAATGAACATGGGTTTACAGCTCTTGCTATAATTTTGTTGCATTTTTTTTTTTATCATTTGATGGTACCATATCAACAATCTTTTGATATTGATTATCGTCAGTATTCTCCACCCACTTGAGATTTGTCACATGATATAACCTATCAGAAAACGATAAAAGAAGCCAAGCTAAGCTTGTCACATCACATAAATTATTAAAAAATCATTCTTACATCTCTTATCCCAAAAAACTCTTTTGGATTTTTGCATATGATGATTTGATTTTTAGTTTTTTATTTATTTTTTGATATCCTAAATACCTCTGGTCGTCACAACCTTGTTCCCAAAGTATCTTGCTTTCACCTTTGTATTGTTGTTTCGACTTGTGTTTTATCATGACCACCTTCTTCCCCTCTACGAGACCCCGCTGTTTTCACTACGCTATGGTTGCCTTTGTCTTGTTGCTTCTGTCCGACTCTATCGCTTTAAGCTCATTGTGGTTGCCTCCTTTTCAAATTTCGATCGCTTTTGCCCCTTTGCTTCGATCCATTACTGCCACCATACCATAGCCATCGCCATCATGGTCGCTTTGATCATGTCATCATCGTTAGGAAAGGAGAAGAAAGTGACACTAACGACATCTAAAGATATTAAAAAGAAACAAAATTTAAAAAAAAATTAAGAACACTCAGGAAAAGACATGGAGGTCACCTCCATCGACGATAGACCCTCACAAATCTGTCCAAATCTTTGCATCCCCCTCAATCAGCAAATACCTCATCGACAATTGTGAAATCCCTTACTAACACAAGCTATAACTCGTTCGGTGGTCACTGAATTACTTGAACTTTAATCACATGAAGAAACAAGAAAATCTAGACTAGACATGTGAATGAACTAATATATGTCCCACATTCGTTATTCAATTATTTCCCACCAATCTAAGCTAGAAATAAATTAATGTTGCTTTGCACGAGAAACATAATGTAGCAGTCTGTTTGTGTGCTATCTTGACGTAGCAACAGCTCCAACTTGGTGCATTAGCCAGCAACCATGGAGGATGCAGTGATCACATGTAACCAGCAAGTCGTCATTTGTTTCTGTACTATATTCTTTCTTTCACCACTGTTGTCCGCGCCTCCTTGCAGTCCCATTCAATAACTATGGTTTCCTTGTGCACCGACCTAAAAGCCTCCATTGTTTGGGAATCGAACGCACACTTCTGAGACTTGCAGCGACTGATCATCACCGTGCTGAGGAAGCACCTCTCGGCATGCTGAAACAAGGTAGAAAGACGAGAATCAATTCATCAAAGTAATGAACAACAATGTTGCTAGTTTGATGTGCATACGCTTGGACTGTCAAAACCTCCTTCACAAGCATCACAGAGATCCAATGCCAATTTCCGAAGGAGTGGCAACTGTATCAAGAACAAAAGGTACTGCTTCATCAGTCATCCAAACGACAAATGATGAGGTCTTTGGGGGGCTAAGAAAAAGAACACTTACCTTAGAAGCAGCTTCGTATATGAAGTTTCTCTCAATACCTTTACCCTGTGGTTCATGAAAAATAAGTTCTAACACAAACCAACATATCCAGCAAGAAATAACTTCAATTTGTAGGATTGATGCGGAAAGCTAATTTACACATGTTGTAAACGGAATTCCTTTAAGTCACCAGGATCATAACTACGACAAAATTGTAACCAACACCTTAGCCTAAACTTATGCTAAGTACCTGATAACTCAACATGCATCTTTTCCTCCGACACAGTTTCTCTTTCAATTGTTAATCAAAAGAGACTGATTTCTGAGAATATTTCTGTGGTAAATATAAAGATACTTGCATCTGAATACATCTCAAGAAGAAAACAGTGGGGTAGCCCTCAATCAATGTTTCATCTGGTCTTAATCAATCAATGGATCCCTTCTTTTCATTTTCTCTGGTGTCATAGAATGATGTCAGTAAACTATTTACTATAGCACACGAATCCAAGGTCCCAAAATCCAGTCCAACTCCAATATCACATGTCAATAGATGTCCAAGGTAGAACTTACAATTTTGAAATTTGGATATATGGTCTGGACCAGTGCCTTTTTCAGCTTCAAACTTACCCTTATTCAAAAGCCCCGAAAAGTTTAATAGGTAGCTTTTACGCTGTGATTTTATCAAGGTAAATGAATTTTAAAAAAAAAGAAATTGCAGTTGCAGCAGATTTCTAGTGTCTCTATGCAGGTCTAGTACTGTAACTTATCTAGACCTGATTATACACATTCCTGAGTGGTAAAAAAAATACGAAGTAGAAAAATATAAAATCAAGCACAAGTTAACTTGGAAAAGAAATCTGCATTTCATTTTAAATGAAACAAAATAGTCTAGTTTGAAAAATAAGCACCAGTTGAACACTCACATTGTGGCGTAGTAAGAAATCCTCGATAGCTATGCAGTTAAAAAGAAAAGAAACCCCATCCAAAGTTATTTTGCCACATTCCTGCAAGCCAGGTAAACAGGCAATCATTATTGACAAAATAGGTTGGTTGGATATACAAATCTCACATAGTAGTAAATGGAAGATAAATATAGGATCAGGAGGCAAATGGAGGTAAAATAATGGGAAATCATCCATAAAACCCATAAAACAACATCCATCATCCTTGTATTTTGATAAGAAAGAAAGGAATGTTTCCAAAGAAGGAAGATATGACCATGTATTTGGAATTTATTATGTGAAATAAAATCAACAACAGCAAAGTATCTAGCTTGGTTAAAACTTAAAAGTCTCCTGAGTGGCCTGGATGTAATACCTACAAGATGCTAGGCATAATTGTATATGGTTCACAATGCTTCTTTAGTCAAATATTCCATTAGGATGGTCTCTCCTTTTATTGGCCAATGAATTCATATGGTTCTCACAGTCAACAGGTTTTTATTCAACAACTGATTAGCAGTAGCATAAACAAAGAAAAACAAAACCACACAATTCAGATTTTAGTAACATGAGGAAATATTGCAAAAATATGCGAACCTCCAAATGAATAAATGTTAAGCCTGGCCATCCATTTGAAATGATTTCTTGTGAGGCTGCAAATGTGTGAACAAATAGGAGTAATTGAACAAAATATTCACATTTAAAATCCACAAGGAGAACAAAAACTACAAATATCTTAACAATAGTAACCTGAATCTAGAAGTTTACATCCTGACAATGAAAATTCTACCACATTTGGGCAGTTCTTAGTCAGAATTGCCAAATCATTATTTGTCATCCATGGAGTTACCCACTCGAGCCTTAATATCCTTAACTGCAGCATGCTGATCTTACAGGCAAATGAAGTCAAGTCACCAAGACAACAGCATAGCTGCAGCACCTTTAAATTTTTTAAGGATTCCTGAATGCTTCTAAAAATTCTGTCAGAAATTACCTGTAGAAAACAGAACCTGCTGTAAACAATTGTAAAAAAGACACCCAGTAGCAAATAAATGAAATGGTGTGACCTGAAAAATAAGAATCACAGACTCCAGCAGTGGGCACATCTTGGGAAGCAGACATAGCACATGATGGCCTGGCGATGCCCCTAGGCCAATTGTTATGCACCTTAATCTACTCAGAGGTACTAGTTCTTCCACAGACAAAATAGAAAATCCCCATCCAAATGCCACTTCTTCCAGGATGCAATGCTGACTCAGTTCAAAGAGATACCCCTTATGGTTAGCAGTGACTGCTGATGCCAGATCATATGTATCAGGCCGATTGAGTTTCGTACAACCAGTTGCTTTCAAGCACCTAATACCTGTGTTTCTCCTAACTACTGACGTCAAAGCCTGCATTGAGACCTAAAATTTTACAAGCAAAACTGACTCAGAAAGTAGAATACACAAGCATAACATATCTCAAGCAAACAACTTAACAGGCATAGACAGGTATGGATATACATATGGCTAAGCCTGTACAGACAAAATAGTTCTGCAGTTCACCTGCAACATCAGAAATTTTATTAACTGCCAAACTTGCATGTGATAATTCAATATCCGAATTGTTGGCAATAGGCTGGTGCCTCAATGAACAATGGCAGCCTACATCTGTGACTTATGGAGTTAAAACAATTAAGCAGAATAATAAAGAAAAAGGAGAATGCTCCTTAGCATGCTCACTTTTTTATACAGGCTTCTTATATGAGCAAGACAAAAAAATGAGTTTCATAGGTGAAAGGAAACAAACACACATGTTCAATAAGGAAAATAATTAAGACATGAACTAAGTAGGCAAAGTTACAACAAAAGCTATTTATTTCGATACAATAGAATCCTTAACAAAGATTAAGAAAAGACAGAAGATCATCACCATGGTCTCAGAAACATCAAGACTCTCCAGAAAAGAACCCAGGAAGTCATAGAGAGCATCATCAGTAACTGAAGTTCCTCTCAACATTAGTATCTTTAACATGTACATGCGACACATAAGTTGTGAGATGGAGTTTTGGTCAATGCCTGTAAAAGAACAATAGCGACATGTAAGAAATATAAAAGAGTTAATTATATATGTAGGTTATCATGGTTAATCATGTTCAGCTACTAGATAGTTTTAAGCCAAGAAAAACTTATACTCATTGGCAGCAAGTTTCAGAAACCAAACTTAGTACTCCTTGTCAAACAGAGTGAAACTCTACTGATTTAGATAAAAGGACTTCCCAATCAAGCTACAAAACCTAGAAGTCCAGTTTTGTGAAATAAAGAATGAAATTCAGTACCTTTACAACCATCAATATGAAGTTGCTGTAGCCTAAATGCCATTGTGCATGAATATTTGTGGTCACTAACTTCAGTAAGGTTACTAGTCAATAAAAGGTCCGAACAAAGTACCCCAACTGAACTTTGACCAAATGATGTATAAGACAGAATCAGTGATTTGATATGAAGGCACTTGCTTATAAGCTTTGATATCCCCATATCTGTTACCATAGTGCATCCCTTGATGTTTAAGTAGGATAAAGAACCACAGAGAGCAGAGATCTTCAGCAAGTCCAGGTCTGACAAGAACAATAATAAATTAATTCCATCTTTCCAGTTCTCAAAGGTACAATATAGACTAAATATTGTCATTACAAAATTTGTAGAAATAATGCAACAAAACATATGAAAGCATCACACACCAAAGATGCATCTTGTTCAATGAACCATACATATCACTTCAACAGTAAGCGATATGTTGTTGGGTAGCAAATATACAAAGTTAAATGAAACACAAATATTTGCTGCCTCAGACCTTGGTTTAAAAGATGGATGAAGGATTGCCATTTTCTGATCAAGTCTTACCATTAATATCATTTCGCCCTTCCAACGTCAGTTTTGAGATATTTGACATAGCCGGATTTTCCAATGAGGTTTTTGCAACATTTAATAACAATGAATTTTCTTCCAGCATTGCATATGGTGTAGTACTGGCAACACGATACTTGTCACTGCTCGTAGAAACGACAGATACTTTGGCAGGTAAAAATGGACTAGTGTCAACAGTCATGTCAACTTCGGTAATCAAAGGAAATTTTTGTAACAAACAATAGAAATCTTCTATTTTAAGCTGTGAACAGTGAGATGCTCTCAATATGCTCAGTGATGGAAATGCCAAGAGTAACCATTTAACAGCGGAACCAAAGTACAACTTTGGGCATTTAGAAATATCCATCTCACGTACAGATTTATAAGACATTGTCATCAATGACTTCCCTAAGACATAACGGTTGTTTGCAGTGCAATTATCAAGCTCGGAAAGTACCATTCTTTTCTTGGCCGTCATATCCAAATCAGATGGCAAGACCACCAGAAAAAGAAAAAGAGCTGTTATGTGAACGCAGCCAGCAAGACTAATTTTCTGAATAACAGAAGCAGGAATAAATTATAAATCTTGTGCCCTTAAGCAAATAGAAAATAGGAGATCTCAAGTAGCATATATATTTTAAACTGATAAAAAAGAGAATAAACACGTGGAACATTATCTAAAAGGCTCATTGTAACCAATTTATAGTCCCATCTTACATTTTCACAGTCAACTTTACCTACAGTTGGCGTAAAGGCTGAGAAAACTAGATCTAAAATGGTTAATCTTCATAGGTTAATCAGCTAAGAATTTATAAGCTGATTCAAGGCAAATTCAGTCCAAACAATGTGCAAAAGAAGGAAGATAAAAAAATACAACTTAAAGAAAATATTCCAAAGCTCTCTCTCTCTCTCTCTCTCTCTCTCTCTCTCTCTCTCTCTCTCTCTCTCTCTCTCTCTCTCTCGCTCTCTCTCTCCCCTCCCCCCCCCCCCTCATCTTTTCTTTTCAAAAAAGTATTTTCATGAAATTTTCGTGTTATAGAAAGATGTGTAACTAAAGAAAATTCAATCCATTTTTTATGGTTCTACTGTGAAAAGACTCTACTCACTTTTTTGGCTCAAGTGCATATTATTGTGGATGAATTTTTTAATAGTAAATTGTAACAATTCTTTCTTGTTTCTAAGAAAGTGTTGTCCTTACCTTCACCCTTAGTCCCTTACCCAGTTATTCACATAAAGTGTAAAACATCTACTTTCATTGTCTTACAGACAATCTAACCCCTTGAAAAGGAAATGTGATAAAACAGAAGTATATTTGTTCCAATTGTCCTTTCGTTTTCTCTCTCAATGCAATAATGGAAAAGCATGGTAATGGAAGTTAGGAACCAAGAATTAGTAAATAAAGAATAGAAAAAGAACCTCAGAATATTCCGTCAGGCGAATTCTGAAATCATCTAGCTTATCACCTACAAGAGCAGCGAGTATGATTGAGAAGGAATCTTTCATCAAATCCAGGATTGTACAAATAGCCTCTTCCCCAAGCTGGGAGAAGTCTCGTCTCAGCCCTACAGGGACAGGGCTCATACAGTGAACAGCAAAGATAGTATAATAATGAATAGAAAATAAGTAATCTAAAATCTCAAAATAAGCAACCAAACTTTAGAACTACCTGCAGCAAACTCCAAAGGTAAAAGGGAGATCCTCACCTGGTCAAGGAACAAAAAGTTATCCAGAAAAAACAGAAGGCTGTTCCATGATAAAAGTTTCAAAGATTGGAAACAAGAGCAGTAAATTACAACTTCATGCACCTGTACTTACAAAGTAAAAGAAAAAAGAAACTGCACAAATTGATAATAAGGATAAGTGAACTGATAGGATTCTATTTCTGAATTAAGATAAGCAAATCTTTGCACTTTACCTTCCTAAGAATATCAAATTTAGAATCATCTGATGAGCACTGTGAGGATCTTCTGTTGTCGGAAAGCCATATTAGTAACGCTTCGCATAGATGCCTCTCACTAAGCATCAGTTGCAACAAAATTAGTTTACATATTAATTGTACTGATCAATCTGAAGATAGCAAAAACCAACCTATCCAGAGTCAGCAGAGGGTGTTCAATACAGGAATGTAATAGATCATATGGAATATCAGGAAATGAGTTCAATGATGTGACCCATGCCTGCAAAATTGTTGTTTCATACTTAAAATTTCTAATGGTAAGTAAGAATAGCAACTTAGTAGAAAAACTAGCAACTTGGTAGTGAAGCATCTCCAGAGGCATAAAAGAATAACTTGACATTTATAACAATCTGAAGAGCATCATACAAACTAAGTCCGATGAACAAAGTATGTATGTAAAGTATGAAGAAACAACCTTTTTCTGTAATTTATTTGCATAATAGCTGCTTACAAAAAAACAGTAGGCACAAAAATTAATTTTCCAAATGCACATGACTATTGGTTTCGGGTAAGGTTGCTAGGTAACTCGATCGTCATCATATTTATTTTTGTTGATTCTAACAAAGGCTTTAAGTCTTTGCCTGATTTACCCAGAACTTATAATTTGAGTTGATCATCTTGTCTTCCTAGCAGATTAACAAATCCTGTCTGGATGTAACCAAAACATCTTAAAAATTTTCCCCCGTTTTATCCTTGGTTCATACTATTACAGTATTACTACCCTTAAATTTTTGTGAACAAAATTTACAAAAAAATCAGATTCTATGTTTTTCTCTTAATACAATGCATCAATCTCAACATCCTTAATTGTTCGATATTTTACATTCTGTTCCATTGCAGAAGATCTTGTAACTGCCTTTTGAGACCTTTTCTTTAACAAAGCAACAATTGTTGAACATCACACAGTACTGTTCCTTGTTCAACCATCTCATATTTAAGTTCTATTAGCAACATCTTCCTTAATCTCTCATTTATCTTGAACTACAGCTGCACAATGTATATAATACTTATGTTCTGAATTTTCATAAATATCTATTTAAATTTTGATTTCATTTTTAATCTTCATACTACTTAAATTGCACCGCATATATTTAGCTTCTAATTTTGCCATTCCACTCTGATTAATTAATATAATTGCAGCATACAATTTGGGATTTAAATTTGAATGTCCATTAAGTTCAACTATTAAGATATCAATTAGTTAACTCAAGGCTTTATCCTTGTGCAACCTATGGCGATCTATCATTTTTAAACTCCACCATACACTACACTACTAATGGATTATTAATACTAGTCCAAACTAAACGAACCTAAGTAATTCCCTTTCCTGCAAAAGGTCTCGATCATTAATATTCTAAACAAACTTATCTTACAGAATTACCAGGATATTAATCTGTAAAATGTTAATCAATAGTTTATAGATTAACAATATATAAGCATAAAAAAATTGTCCATGAAGCAAAACATGTCTAACCAAGGCTTATCTATACATCTAGATGCAGCTAAACAGAATAAGCTTCAGTAAAACAAAATTGTTTGCATGAAGAAGAAAACATGGTTATGAGTCAGCTAATGCATGCATATCGTGTACCTACAAAGTTCCGAGCGAGGTAACCTTTGCATAATTCTGGAACAAAACCAATGCCTGCATTCACATCCCCATTCAAACATTACCACAGAAGCATAACATGCTTATGCACCATATATTTAGGATAACATTTGCAATTTAATCATTTAAGCAATACAATCATCAATTTGGATACCTACCTTGTTCTAATCCAAAATTCCAGGCTTCGATAACTGTGTCAATTGGAATCTGCTGTCCTTCTGCAAGGGTCATCTGTTGAAACCATGACTCACATTCTAATAAAAGCCTCTCGACACCAAAATATAGAGCAGCCTATTAAAAAAGTTTGTATCTTAGAGGTGCATAGATAAAAACCTTGAATGAGGACTGGAAATGTTCAAGAATAATAAACCATCAAGTCCACAGCAAACAATCGGTATATTTCCAAACATCATAGTGACAAATAAAAGAAATGATGATAAATACTTCACTAGATGAAAAACCTTGAATGTGGAAGCAAGTAAACAACCTCCAAAATAAGAAGAAAGTTATTAGATGTTATGTGTAGATGAAAGCCATGTATGAACTGCAAGACATGAACAAGTGCTTCTAGGTTCCACCGGATGGATACATGCGCAAGACTCGATTCACTGCAATAACAGAAGGTGAAAGGTGTCATCAGTTAGAATAACACTGAAAGCAAACAAAAACGCATTGTCATAATTATTAGGCGTATATGGTCTTCTTAGCATGCCATATCATGAACCAGACGCAAATAAGTAGATGATCATTAATGATAAGAAAAGCGCTACTAACTTGGACAGAATAAAAAGCAACACAAATAACTCCGTTCTATCCTCTTCTTTCACATTCGAATAATACCATGTATCATCCAAAACTCACCGAGAAACAAAGAATACCAGGAATAACCGTTGATGCTGAGAAGGCTAAAACTTTTAATTAAAAAGGAACGAAAAAAGGCAACTAGATTTCGACAGAGGAGGTAACCTGAAGCTTCCACAAAGGAGGCCACGAAAGTAGGCGGATTGCTCAACCAGCCTGAAAGAAGAGATCCAAAGAGATCTTTAAAACAACAGCCAACACACATGCACGTAAGAACTGATCAGTAAAGACGACTTGCCTGTTTCGATTCGCACGCACTTTTACCGATGGCGATTGGAGGAGGAGCCCAATATTCCAGTTTTCGACACCGGAGGTCGAAATCGATGTCACTTTCTCCGGTCGGAGCTCATTTTGAACGGCGGAGGGATCGATTAGCTCCAGGACGACATCGTCGCCGTCGGTAGTAGCGGAGGCCATGGAATTGGGATCGCCTCACTGACGTCCGCGCAAAATCAGAGAGCCCTAAAGCCCAAGCCGACGCGTTTGTCCTCGCGGGGCCACGCAAAACACCCAACGACGCAGTTTGACTCGCGACTTCCCTAACGAAGTAACACCAGAATCTGAAGAGCGGCCTGATCGCCACAGAAACGGAACGGCCAACACTTGTAATGATCGCACAACTATATGTTAGATTGCATATATGGATGATTTGGAACATATTTGTACCAATTAATCCTTAAACATATAAGTCTGACGATGGTGGTGATATATCAGATCAATTTTTTGTATTTAAAATTTTATTCGATATAATTTTTTGTACCTTCTTAAGCAGTGATGGTATACTACTGGACTTGACTTATCAAGATTAAAAGTTTAAAATTTTATCAAATATATTTTATACTTCTCTTTTACCCAAGTTAAAGATTTAAAATCAATTAGTCTGATAATGATATATTAAACCAACTCATCAAGAGCATTTAAAATCTCGATCTAATATATGTTCTATTTTCACACCTTAAAAACATTAGTTTGGTGGACCAACTTACCAAAGCTTGCATCGAATACATCTTCAATTTATAGTAAAATCCTGGGCTCAAATCAATTTATCAAATATCGAGATTTTGACATCTTAAACATTAAACCAATTTATCAATGGTTGAATGGTTAAAGATCTCATTCGATATATATATATATATATATTTGAAAATGTTAATCATTTAAGTTGCTCACCAACAATCTTACCATAGCTGATAGCTTAATATGTGTCGATAAGCATTGTCAAGAAACAATCACGGTGACTGCAGGAAGAAAAACCTTTTGAACATGCTCTGACAACTCCATATGCCGGTTTGCAGCCATTGAAACAAAATCACATACAAAAACGTAATTATTATATCCCTAGCAAGCATCATACCAGTGTATCAAAACCATGGCTGGCATAGACCTCGATATCCTCTTACCGCCACCTCTTTAATCCCCCAGTTATCCATCAGCCTTCGTTATTGCTAGTTATATCTCAAAAGCAAGTGGCAAGAAGAAAAAACCAACTGACTGCCTGTTGAGAACCATCAGACCACCAAACGTTGGCTTGAACATCTAAACTCAACACGAGAAATCATCAGAAAGGGGTAATAAGAATCAGACATATTTGGGAGGATAAAAGTTAGGCTCGAGGAAGGTGAGATGCATCAGTATGGGTACATCAGCTTCCAACAGATAACAATGAAGAAAAACATAGAAGCAGGGGCTACTGCATATCTTGAACTCAGATAGGTCTCCCACCTGGCACCAAATCCACTAACGCAATTACACCTTGACTTCCACCAGTCACATAGGAATTGCTTGCCCAATATATTGTACAAGTTGCTTCTCAGATACCCCCACCAATACAAATGGCCTTCCTCGAGAGGACAAAATTTGTAGTAGGTGTGGATAAGATGCTGATGTTTTCTAAAATCATATTCATGTTATTAACAGTGGGAATTTAGACCTACATTTACATCAACAGATAGTCGCAACAACGAGTACCAAATAAAGATGGACAAAAGCCACCAAGCCAAAGTGCACTCTTCCACTTTAGACTAGAGAAATTTCTCTAAAAGAGCTCGAATTCCACATCCTCCTCATTCGCCCTGAAATCAAGACATCTACCTTCTTTTTTCTTACGGAACACAACAGGGGTCCCAACATCATGGCCTCTTGGTGTCTCGGGTGGTGCAGCACAACGTATTAGGGCCCAATTTAATCCATCGAAAAATGGGTGCTGCTTAATCTCAGCAGCGCCTTTGACTGATCCCAGCCTATTTTCAGGCTCCTTCACTAGCAGACCTCTAATCAAATCCCTTGCATGAAAGCTCATACATGGGTTCTCAGGGAACTTCAAGCTCTGAGAAACCACATTGGCTAATGTTTCTTCATTTCCAGGTCCCTTGAAGGGTGTTCTACCAAAAAGTAATTCATATAGCAAGATCCCAAAGGTCCACCAATCCACAGCACTTCCATGTCCATCTCCTCTAATGATCTCAGGAGCTAGGTATTCATGGGTCCCGACAAAGGAGTTGGAGCGTGCATCAGTGGGTTCCACCACAAGTTGCGGAAGTGGTCTTACCTGCCCACTCACTTCAGATTTTAGTTTTCGTGTCTTCGCTTCTGTGGAAGATACTAAACGGGGTGTGAAGCAAGAAACTTGAACCCAAGATGGCTGAAGACAAAGTGGGTCAATGCAGCTATTTTCAGCGCATGGTCCGGAGTGCTTCTTTTCAGACTCTTGTGTGCCTAACGAGGCAGATCTGAGAAGGATCGGGCTTACAGAGCATCTGAGAGACAAGTCAAAATCAGAGAGCATAATGTGACCGTCCTCACGAACCAGAATATTTTCTGGTTTGAGATCACGGTAGATCACACCCAACATGTGTAGGTATTCCAAAGCAAGGAGCACTTCTGCAACATAGAACCTGCAATAACCATCATTAAGAATGAGTTTGTATCTTTAAAGGCAACATGTAGCAAAGTTAGTGAACATTAATGGCATGCCCGAATCCAGAATGGACAACAGAAACTCTATTAAAACATTGATTAATCACCAGAGCAAGAATAATGCTGGGACTGGAATTTCTATGGTGCATGGTCAGATTTTAAGCGGATATATCATTCAAATTTTGACTTAAGAGCTTTGTGAAGCAACAATGCTACTTCTGTCTGAAAGCCAATCTGAATTCTATACTCTAGTCTCATGAAAACATAACCTATCAAAGGAAAGTTAATCCAAGAAATTATGTTAGCATTTTCTGGGCAGCATGCTCTTTTATATGTACAGAAATACGATGATTGAAAAGCAGTTGTATAACAGTGCTCCATGTATGTACCTCAAAAAGTAGCAGAAAACTATTCATGATGCTTTTAACAGTTGTTTGGATGGAAGTTCGCCTCCAACACATCAAATAATGGTTCATTACAAAGTGATTTTCTTTATCCAACTAATGCCTCACTTTAAAGGAGTCTTGTCAAGTCTGTTTCACTAATCTTGTGGAAGAAAGTAAATTAAGCAGAGTGAACCAATCTTAATTGAACTCAATGCTATAGAAATTATATTGTATGCCTCATCAATTGCTTAGGTTCTCATAATAGTCTATTCCAGTTGCTTCTTGACATGGTTTGGATGAAACTAGAATGATGGATAGCTAAGTCTGTTTTCCTGACAAAACATGATGTAAAATGTACAAGCAGTTGGAGTTATATACCTAGCGGCTGGTTCAGAAAAACTCCTGCAGGGTTGCTTCTGTCGAAGAACATGCAGGTCGCCACCTGGACAATACTCCATAACTAAACATGAGAGGTTATCCGTTGTAAAATGAGCATAGAGGGTTGGAAGGAAAGGATGATCCAGCATTTGCAATATTTCTCTTTCAGTTTGTGCTCTCAGCATCTTTTTCCTGCTAACCAGGAAATCAATATCCATGACCTTCAATGCAAACAAACACTCCGAACCAACCAGCTCGGCAAGATAAACTGTTCCAATATCACCACAACCAAGTCGTTTGAGGAGCTTAAAATTCTTCAAACCTAAGCTTCCATGTTGAATTAAGTTCTGACGAATGGCCACCCATCTCACATCCTTTGACATGTGAGGTCTACAGCCTTTCACACTAGCACCACTCTGATGGCTCTCCTCACTGATGCTAGTGCTGCTACTATAATCCCCAATGCTGCTTTTCGAACTATGAGAGCACTCTCCTTTTTCTCTTGATCTAGAGAATTCACTTGCTTTAACACTGACGACTCTACTGCTGCCATGGATATTCGGGGTCGAAAAGGTTTTGTTGGCACCACTATCAATGCTGGCCTTATCAATTAATGCGGCAGGATTCACAGTGCTCGATGCAGGAGCAAGAGGAGCCTTAGGGCGACATGACTTGGTTGTAGGCGTAGTACATGGAGGCGTGACAGGTTCCTTATGACGGCATGATTTGGTTGTAGGTGTGGTACATGCAGGACTGACAGGTTCCTTATGACGGCATGATTTGGTTGTAGGTGTGGTACATGCAGGACTGACAGATTCCTTCGGACAACATGATCTGGTTGTAGGCAGAGTCACACCACTTTTGTTTACTTCACTATGCTTGGTGGAACCAGTGGTTGCTGAAGCTGGCTCAGGCTTTCCTTTCTTTTTGGTGGTCATGTTCTTATTTACTGGCTTGGTTAAACATGGCTTCTCGATAGCCTTGCTTGATGCAGCAACTGCCTGTGAGGTAGATATGGATGCTTTAGAAACTGATTTTCCCTTCTTTCTCTCGACTGCAGCTGATTGACTTTCACAGGATTCTTCCGATGTAGGCTTAATTATATCTTGAATTCTGATCCTAGTTACCTTGGGTGTATTGGGAACTGCAGATAGAAGAGATGAAACAGCACCCCGATCACATGACTCGGAATTTTGCCCTTGACCAAATCCATTTGTCTTTTTTGAAGAATCTGCTGAGGCCTTTTCGGGCATGATGGATATTTCGACCAAATTTGTCTTTTCTCCATTTAGAGGAAGACTAGAGTCACTTGATTGAACCACGACAGATGCATAAAGCCTCTTAATTGTTCCAGCTTCGGAGGTCCTAGATAAGCTAACTGGCTTTGATAGCCTCTTCATAGCAGCCATCTCTGATGCCTGGGAAATGCATAGCCTTCTTAAAGACTGTTTTAAAGTGACAGATTCTGATATTCCTATGCCTGACGGTCGAGATCCTCCAACTTTGACTGGCTTCTTCAGGGCATTCTTTCGCATCAAGTCAACCCCTGGCTGACAAGAGGGACCAAGAACCCCAGATGAGGCCCTGAGATCAATCGCCCTCAAAAGTCGATCAAGGTCATCTTCTACATCCTGGCACTTACCATCTTGTACACTAGGTTTGAGCTTAATACGTAGTGTCTTAGATCCACCAAAGTAATTATCCAAATTTGGTTCTTCATTTGATTCAACAATCTCAGAAGTACCACCAGAGGAACCCATTTCTAGGTGATGGTTTAATGAGACGTGAGAAATCTACCTCAATGTCGAGATCAGAGATTAAATGACTAACCCATCTCTTAGAAAGACATCAGAAGGGAATGAAGCAGTAATATGAAACACCAAGCTCATCTTTATAGATTCCATAATTGTACATATTGTTATACTTAAAGAACCTGATCAACGTCTTCCATGAATTACTGCTGATCATGATCCTGCAAATAGATTAAACTACATCATACAATAGAAGAAAAAAAAACAAAGAAGAGAGTATTTGTAGACCCGATGCAAGGTTTATGTTACACCCATTAAATATTTCTTAAACATGAAAAGCAGAAAACCCAAAAGCACAACTTAAAAAAAAAACAGTTATAAGCTATTCCACTAAACAACATCATGGTTTTCAGATATCTTAGAATAGAGCATGACACATGCTGGGTATTCGAACCAGACCCTACAATATCAAAGTTTTACTCATAACAATTGTCTATAAAACTGCAAATAAACCATCTTCCTTCTCCACCATGTGAAATCTGTAACCATAGACAGAACTCAAGTTCACAATGGACGCCCCAAATTACTCTCAAGAAAAGCATCAGGTAGCACCAAAATAAGGAAAATTAAAAGAAAAATAATCAGTCATTTAAAGAAAACCACAGTCCATTCCTTCCTGCTGCAGCACACTGAACCAAAACGTAGAAAAGATAAAATAGGATCGAATTGCAAAAAACCCAAGAAAGATGTAAGAAGCATCAGAGCCGATTAGCCGCACGCGTTGTCATCAAATAGTGTAGAAAAAGATCGGCAAAAGAAGAGGCGTAAGTCCAGTGAGAAACCGATTGGTGAAAACCAGTATAAAGACAAAATAGGAAAAAGTTCCGGAAAAACCAAGAAAGAATCAAGAAGAACTAGCGCCGATTAGCCGAACGCATAGTCATCAAATAGAGCAGAAAAAGAAGGCAAAAGAAGAGAAATCATCCCAGTGAGAAATCGATCGGTCAAAACTAGTATACAGACAAGATAGGAACCAATTCCAAAATGACCAAGAAAGATTCAAGAAGAATTAGCGCCGATTAGCCACACGCATGTTCATCAAATCCAGCGCAAAAAGATGGCAAAAGAAGAGACGCCAGCCCGGTGCGAAATCGATTGGTGAAAACTGGTGTACAAACAAATATGAACAAATTCCAGAAAAACCAAAGAAGATTCAAGAAGAATTAGTGCCGATTAGCCACACGCATTGTCATCAAATCGAGTAGAAAAGGACAACAAAATAAGAGACATCAGTACAGTGAGAAATCGATTCGTGAAAACTAGTATCCGGACAAAATAGGACAAAAAATTCAAGAAAGACCAAGAACGGCTCAAGAAGAAGTGGCGCAGATTAGCCACAAGCATTGTCATCAAATCGAGCAGAGAAGAACGGCAAAAGAAGACACAACAGCCCAGTGAGAAATCGACGGGTGAATACTAGTAAGAAGCTCAAAAACGTAACCAAATAAGAGGAAGACGAAGAAAAAGAAGACGTACCGCGAACCAGCCCACCACCAACGCCAGCACAGATCCGGATCGAACAACCAAATCGTAGATCCGACTCAAGAACCACCAAGAAGAGTCTAGGATCGCGACCGTAGATAACGAATCGAAAGATACCTCACCAGGGCTAGGGTTTTCGAACGCGAGAGAGAAGAGAGAGAGAGAGAGAGAGAGAGAGGCTGGGAGTAGCGGCAGGAGTGAAATGCTCATCACGAGGAGGTGCACATCGCTCTGAATGATAGGAAAAGAACAAAATAATGATAATTAATAATAAACGAAAAGAAAGAAACCAAATATTACCGAATTCTTTATTAGATCATTTAATTTCTCCCACTTATTTTCCTAATTAATCTTTCATTTACGATAAATAAATAGATAAGAAAAGTCAAGTGCTAAAAATTAAATTAAAGACACGGAAAAGAAAATAAAACTCGGGGAAAGAATCAGACGCGTCAGCAGAAAAGACGCGGCTCCTTCTTTGAGATGGACCCCGCCGTGGGTCCACCTGAGTTCGGTGCATCGGTGGAGTATCCCAGATGACAAAACAAGGCCTGTCATTTCACCAAATTACCCACCCTCTCAAATCTGAAGCTTATCCAAGTCATCATTTGCTTCCTAATAGTCAAAATCCATTTTGATCAAACAGATCTTACAGTTTTAATTATCCTGCATTAATATTAAAGAATAAATTGTTGGATAAGATTGAAGTTAGTGAGGCTACACAAATTTAATGCAGTTTACCTGAGGTCCCCATGCACACAGTAAGTACAGTATCAGGATCTCTGAGTTCAAATTATATTGCACATGATCCAACCCAATTCATTGGATTCCCTACCAGTTAAACCTATGTACTTGCAATACTGGTTTTTCATACCACAAAGTCATCCCTCAGGAAAAGGGTTGATTAATGCATATGTGACTTCATTTTTCTTGGCATTTCAAACTCACTGATTCCTACACTGAAGGAGCTGAAGAACATAATGGAACAGAGCTTGCAGATCTGTACCTCCAAACATTAAATTACCATGCTTTTCGAACCTCTTTTAAAAGTCTGGATCATTGGGATCTTTGCTTTCTACCTTGTGTAGGCCAACAGGGTTGGCTGCAATTACTCTGCAAGATGGAGGGCTTTGCATGATGCAAATGAGATGCATGCCACCTTGTACTAAATAAAAGGAGGAGTTAATCATTTGAGCATACCAGAAGCTACTCACTGGTGGGAGATGAATGGAGACAGGAACAGAATACATCAAAGTAGCATATGTGTTGTTCCCTGGCTTATCTTTGCCTGAAAAGGATAGTTTGGGCAAGGATTCAATCACTTGACAGATAAAACCCATGTATCATCAACTAAAACCTAATGGTTCCAAAAGCAGACAATGATAGAACAGAATCAAGTGGACATTACATAATGATAATGATGGTAATCTGATAACTTAGCTGAATGGCTATGGTGATTCTTCTTTTAGGCTGCAGAATGGCACCGACAGAAAGCTTCAGGTGGTGTTCAAATGACAAGATTCAAACTAGTTAGACAATTCTGAGAGAAGAAATAGGTGATGTTTGTTTAATAGGATTAGGACCATAGTAAACTAGCTTAAGCACTAGAATAGATGTACTAGCATAGCTTAAGTACATCTCTTCTGGTGCTAAAAGCTTACTTGAGTGCTAAAAGAATGTAGAGAACAAAAAGAAATGTATTTGAAGTACTTGCTATTTAAGTGTAACATGCAGAAGAACTTTTGTTTCGACTTACTAATTATCGCTTCCACCATATCATCAAGGAATCACAAACTAAACAAATAGTGCAGCATTGGAAGTTTATATTGCATCTGAAGACCAATTATGTTTGCCAGTGCTTAATTGCAATAGGCAAACTCAAAAAATAGATTGGAGAAACATGTTTACTATATACTTCATTTTAGCTTCTACTTCTCACACTTCCAAAACCTGGTTTTTCATCTGAGAGATCAATTTTTTTCTTCTAAAGAGAATGAGTTTTCTCTTTACCTATATATTCATTTATAAACCTAAATTCAGGTTTACAAATCAGATCAAGAAACAATACTTCCATAGAAATACTAATTGATTGATCTTCCCATATTAATCTACAATACAAGTCCATATGCATTCTCACCTTTGTTACTAATTTCTATTAAGAACATTATAAATTAAGCTCTATCTTATGTATGAATAATTAATTCATCTAGAACCTAATGGAAGGGCCCTCTTACTGTAGTTGAACACTTGACTTCAATCTTATGCCTCCATTAAGCTTTCTCCTCTTATGTAATTTAATCATATTTTATATATTCTACTAGCAAAGAATGAAGACCATGCCAAACACATCTATCGTCATCTCATTACTTTTGGAAGTCCTTTGTCATGATATTTTAATACGTACCTTAAAGCCTCCTGTCAAACTTTTACAGCCCATTGGGAGAATAGCCGATCTCCAATAGAAGAAAACTAAGCAGTCAAGGCGTGCTGTCTCCCAATGATAAGCTGCCACTTCTTCCGAGTGTCGGGACACAAAGTCTTCGCCATCCCCGTACTTGTAGTAGACAACACACAGCAAACTGTTTTTGCTGACCTCCTCATTTGCTAGTCGAACGCAAGCAATCCACCAGCTCAAGAGCTCGTCAATTTCAATCTCCTCCTCCTCGTTTCCTCACTTGTACCAGCCGCCCATGTTTCCGGCAGGACAAGCTTCGATCAACTCCTCTTTGACCGTCGCCTCCTGATTTCTGGATACAGCTCAAGGAAGCAAGTCATTTTATCGAGCAGGTAGCGTGCGTCTGCTTAATCATCAGCCCGTGGCCGACATGCCTCCCCTGTACGTCTTCGAAGACCACCACACCCCCCCTTTTCCGAGCCAGAAACTTCCAGGAGGAGAAGTAGGGCAATTCTGTACAGTGGTCTCTGTTCCCACACTCGTTTCTTTCTTGGCTCTTCAACCAATATATCCGCATGCTACGCCGTCAGCTCTCAAGTCATCGCCGTGCCATTGTCCTTGGAATAGCTTCCTTGTGCCCGTTTACTGAGCATGAAGACAGGCGAATTAGGAATCATTGTACCATTTCCTTGACGCAGTCGCTATCGCTCTCGACTCCAGCTCAACACTCACTAATACGTGCAAGGCGCCGTGGTCCTAATGAGAGCAACCGATCGGCGCAGTTATCCATCCACTAGATTTCAAGTAAGACTTTACTGCTCGTTCCAATCTGCAACGTCTTACTTCTTCGAGATTTAAAAGCTACTACCTCGAGGATAGATCAAAATTGAGAGACCAGCTCCAGCGATGTTATTGAGAGACCAGCTACCGTCAATGGAAATCTATGAGACAAGCATACTAAAGATTTCCAAAGACATCCAGGGAGATCACAAGAAACGTAGACCGATTTCTTGCTGATCCGATAGATCAAAATTGCCCAAATCATAGATCAAAGAGGATATGATAATCTTCAAATTTATTGAAAAGTAATAAACCTCTGCATCATTTCATCTTTCTAGCATCCTGACTTTGTCTGACAGAAGGTGTACTACCATCAATCTAAGTTTGAATATTTGAGTCAGGATTCTAATTAAAACTTGCATAAAAAAGAGAAAAAAAAATTGCTAGCTCATAAATACTCTAATCACAGAGGAAGCCTTTTTCTGCATTGAACACTGACATGCTTCAATTCACTTCTGCCATATCTTTTGAGCAGGGAGGCAGGCAGTGAACTGCCTTGCAACTTCAAATTTTGTTCTCATTAACTCTGGCAGGCCATCCCCTGTTCCCTTTATCACTTCGATTCCCCAACTGCATGCTAACTTTCCTTTGTGGATCTTACAATAGAGACCAACATCAAGTTGAACACTTGTTCGCAATTTAATGATTAGATTACTGAACCCTTTTCATATCCTATCCATATAGCAAGCACCTGATTCTATGCAAATATATGAAAGTAAAACTTATTTATCTACAGAATAAGAAGAAAAAAGATCACTTGCGAAAGATATGGTATTTCAGAAATCTTCCTTAAAAACAAAAGGACATTGTGGGTGAGAATCAAACAGTGATCAAAAGAGAAGATCCTAGTGATACGGCATTTCCAGTACTTTCTGCAATGCCTGATATACATCCAGAGAAAAAAGGGAGGGAGGAAGGAAAGAAGATGATGGTACAGACAGAAAATACATGATTGAGAAAGTCAGCCAGTTACAGATAACTTCAATACTTACAAGCATAAGAAACTTCAGTCTGGAATGATTAGCCAAGCATGTTGACTTAAGGCCTTTATTCATTGATCCTGGTACAAGAAAGATCAACCAAAGCTCTTCTGGCAGGGACAAACTGACCTGGGTGGAGATCAGTTCAAGGTTATATATTCCAAGAAACATAACAAGTATAAGGCTAATACCTACTACCTAGCATCCCTGATGGACCTGCATTCTCAGGTTTTCAACTTTTGGGTTTAAGTAGAGTACACATGCATAAATGTTTTGAACACTCACAAATAAGAAACAAGACTAAGAGTTCCAATGGTTCTTTATCAGAAAAGAGATCTTCGATAGGGTATTTGATAATGACCACCACTTATAATTGAATGCCATGATAACAGGGCAAAACTGTATGGTGTTTCTCACCATGATGACCATGAGAAAGAGGTTAACAATGATGATATATCTGCAACTTTTCCTCCCTTCTGGTACATACTAAGAAAGTACAAGAACTTTAAGATCTTCAAAACAACACTCGCATATAAGCTATGTGTTATGAGTGAGGTGATTGAAGAACTAGGAGACGAGGAAGAGAACAGCATTTAAAAGCTTCCCAGGCTATGCAAAAATAACATTGCAACTAGTCTTCAATAGATACATTTTAAGTGTTTCCTCTATAGCTGAAATCTATACATTTTTCAGCAGTCTCCAAAAAATCTTGAACAAATACAACGGAAAGGGACATAGAACCACAGCTACTAACACAGACTCCGTGGAAAAGAAACACCAAAAAACCAGGAAATGACTCTTGAGTGAATATTTTGGGAAGAAAATTATATACTAGCCCTTAACATGTTAAGATTGCTATTGGTATTGCTGGCTTATACCCATTCTTCCTATTTGTAAAGAGAAGGATATCCTCTTCTTGCATAGTTCTTCCAGCCTTCAGTTGAGAGTTTTCTGCTATGATTCTTGAAGTGACTAAAAGAGTTTGTATACAGTGATTCAAAATTTTGGCATTTATTTAAAACTTCAAGATTTTGTGTGATTGGACTTCCATCTTTCTTCATAGATCATACTGACAACTGAGTCTTTCCAATGCAAGAAAACTCTCCTCTTTCGCCTCATATCTATCTAGATGATAAAATGCTTCTTAATGTTGTAAACTAATCATAGCAAGCAGATACCTATTCACTCTCTAGAATGTAATACATAGTATATATACCATAATCTGGTGGATTTCTTTCAGTCTTTTGGGAAGAGATTACAACTTTTGCATTTCATATACAGTTCGCAGCACATCTAAATAAGCCACCTTAGAGCTTTTAGTCCATGATAGTGAACTAGGATTTTTTTCCTCTCAAAAGCTTCTTCTCCCTCCTAATCTTTAATTCTCTAAAACGATCCTCACTTGGCATTAAATTCAACTTCATGTATGACTTCAACAATAGAATAAAAATTAATAAAAAAGGTCATGAAAGAAAATCAACACGATATGCTAGTTGATCTTGTTGACAAAACAATATACCAGACGGAGATAGACTACGTATATCATCATCTCATACACTTGATTCAAGCCTTTCAAGCGAAATTTAATACAATTAGAATTAGTCAGTAAGTTAAAGTAAATTTCTTCTCCTTCCAGTTAATTATTATTGGGACATAATTGCAAGTAATGCCTAAGATACTAAAAGCATTTGCAATTGTATGGATATTATGATTTATACGAGGAAACCTCTCCATGTACTTATCTGTTTTGCTATACTATTAGCTGCTGACTGGTGGACCAACCAAGATATTTATTCCATTATCATGTGGGATCATTTCTGTTCTAATGTCTCCACTAGGCAAGCAGGCAAGCAATGAGTCATTGGTAAAGATGTCGATATTAGCATCTTTGATATCCAGTGATCATATATAGGGTAAGTGCGAAGAAGACATCTCTAATATCCAGTGATATTCGCACATTGGACACTCTAGCAAACATTTTTTTAACAAAGAACCGCATCAAATTAAATAAAAAATGAGCCGAAGTAACACTGATAATGATTAAAAAAAAAGAGAAAGATTAGTAACACAAAGCAAGCTTCAGTCATTTCTCATAGGAAATTAGGGTGAGAATTTGAATGAGTGTAGGTGATATCAGTCTGTGAAGATACGAATGCCCCCTAAAATGAACATTGAGAGCTTCCAAATAACTACCATGGTGAATAGGAAAACTAATATTAACCTTGTGATACTTGGCATAGAACACTTTCCTAACTAATCAGAGCTAAATGAACTATATAAGGTCTAATTCATCTCAAACCAGATCAAAAGAAACGAGCTACATATTTAAGTTTCATTTATCAACAATTGCATACTTGGATATACAACAAGTTAACATAAAATTCCTTTTTCTTCATGTTCATTACTCTTCAACAAGAAAAAACTCACAAGTTGAAAACACAAATCACATATTGTGGTTCTATAAAGAACGGTTAAGATCAAAAGCTTAATATTACATGCTCCAATTAAGTAAACATCCTATCTCAAACAAATGCCACAACCTCACCTTGGACTGCAGTAGGCTGAGGCCACAACCAGCTGTATCTGTTCATCAACTGGATATTCTGGCTCCAAGATTCAGCTGCTCTTTGACTTCCAGGGGTCTCGTTGTCTGCCTCTTGATCCTCTTGATGTTGGAGCTCGCTAGGCCCCTGTGAGCAAACCCATAAATCCGCAGTATTTGGTTATCTGCGAAATTAAATGCCCTCTCCATGCTACCGAGGCACCTCTCCACCGGGTAATCTCCGTAGCTCCCACAAGGCTTGCAACCCACGAAATGCGTAACGAAAGGCCACCTTTCGTCGCCCAGTCCGGGGTGGTACTTCTCCATCATCTCCTCATAGCGATCCACAAGGCCTGCCCAGTAGCCGTGGAGGTAGTACGAGTTCTCGATGAACACCTTGTTGCCCCACTTGTCCTGCTGCGAGAGCAAGAGGTAGATGAGGGCAGACTGGTCGTCGGCCTCGAAAGCCGGCCGGCCCTTGAGGCTGGCGGTGAGGATCTTGCCGGCCTCGTCGCGGACGGGGCCCTTGGGACCCATCGGCGCCCACGCATCGAGGAGATCGAGTGACCACTGGCAGTTGCGGAGAAGGAAGCTACCGGTGTTAAGGCCGATCCAGGAGTGCTGGTCAAAGATGAGGTCCGGGTAGCCGTGAACGACGAGGTTGTGGGCGTCATAGCGAGGCAGTGGGATCTCGAACGCCATGTCGGTGAAGAGGGCGTCGCTGTCCATCCACCAGATCCACTCGACCTCAGGATGAGAGAGCATGAGACGGCGGATCAGGGGTAGCTTGGCCCAGTAGCCAGCAAGCTCGCGGTCGAGGTGGGCCATGTTGTAGACGATCTCGATCCCGTGGAGGCGGCAGTAGTCGATCTTGTTCTTGATGGCCTTGAGGAGGTAGTGGTCACCGGTGGCGTTGTCGCAAGGGTTGGGCGGCGACCCGGTGACGAGGAGGATGCGTGGCTTGCCGCCTTCGACCAGGTTGGGGAAGCCGGGGTTCTCGCTCAGCCACCGCCGCCGCTGGGAGTCCCAGTCGGAGATCTTGGGCCCGAGGGTGTAATTGGCAACGACGGCAGAGGTAATGTCAGTGGCATTACCGCCGCCGTCGCGAGTGGCAGTAGTGGAATTGAGGGAGAGGAATTGTTGTTGCTGGTCGTCATCGTCAGGGTCGGCATCAGAGCGGATCTCGCGGAGGATGCGGTCGATGTCCTCGATGACCCTCTGGTCGGCGGCTTCGGAGGCATCGCCGCCGGCGCCGGCGAGGCTGCCGATGCCGATGGTGCCGCGGAGGACGAGGATGGTGACAAAGCCGCAGAGGACGGTGATCTTAAGGTTGTTGAAGGCCTTCTGGATCTTGCGGCCGCGGGGGAGGCGGCCCGATCTAGAACTAGCCGGGAGACTCCCTCCACCGCTGCGCGCTGCTGCCTTCGACGCCGCTCCCTCTTGGCCCATGTCGTTCGTCTCACCCTCTCTCTCCTTGTCTTATCCTCTCTCCGCAAAACGCTTATATATCGCGGCCGGCTCGAAGAAACGCCGAATGAGATCACGGAAGAGTTCCGATAGAGAATGCCGCTGCCATGTGGCGGACGATTCAGGAGACAGTAAAAAGGAGTAATCCTTGCAGCACAATCCCGGACCCCACCGTGATAACATCATTGACGTCAGCCATTTGAAGGTGGCTGCTTTCCTGTTGCCTGCATTGAAAGAGATGGAAAATCCGACACTAATCTCGCTGTCGATACGATTCGTGATGGACGATTGACGGGAATCGCGGGTAGCGTGGGCTACGGGTTCGGGCCCGTGTCGGCATTGAAAGGCTTGGATCCAAAAACGCTGAGCCTCCATCAGCCGTTTAATTGGGCCGCAAACATCGGTCACACAAAACTGGTCAATTTGTCGGTTCTACGTCAGAGGGGGATTAATCCGTTTCGCCTAAATCCTTCATCATTTTTCAACTTAATTCTTCTTTGTTCTAACTTATTCATTGATTTAAAACAGAAGCATATAGAATAATCAATTTTTTTTGGGCGTTGACTCCTTAAGTATTAATAAGATAGGGCTCGAATTTGTGATTCCATTTCAAAATTCAAAGTTAATTGAAGATTATTTTAATTCATTTTAAATAAAAAGTCAATCGTCACTCGCAACACAAGCATGGTCAAGCATGACCATGCGCAAAGGCAACCAATGACAGAAGTCTCACTCTCATCATACCCCAGCAATTACCTCTCATCCCCTTTGTCCCGTTGGATTTATCATCTAAAATCCTTATGCGAGGAAGGAGAAAGAGAACCAATGAAAATAAAATAAATCAATACACTAAATAATTAGAGTAGATGTTTTATTTAATTTAATTGAACCAAATAATTTTTAATTGAATCATAATCTATTCAATCAAGGTTCATCCAATCTAATTAGGCCTAGTATCTCAATCCACATATTAATAGGTCGAGTATGAGTACATGAAGTGCTTGACATATCCCCGCCCCTGCTCCTATTTGTATATATAATATAAAATGACCCTCATTCCCACTCTTATCCCCGTGCCCATCCCCACTTATTTTTGCCATTCCCACTTCATTAAGGGTGAGTCTCTGCAAGTATAATTGACATATTCAACATGAGGGCTATCATCGCCTAAGAAGGAGAGGGTGGGACGGTTATTGCCGCTTCCTTCCTCATGCAAGGGTTACGAGCGAAAACAAAGTGAAAAATCTATGATAGAAAAAATATAGTAAAGTATATAATAAAGAAAATACATATATTTCTTAGATGATAAAGGTTAATTCGGTTGAGAATAGAGAGAAAAACTGATGACAGAAAAAAAAAAAATCACCCACAATAGCATAATCAATAGTAAGAAGGTAAGATTGAATAATAATTAAGCTACGTGGATATCAATAAAAAATAATAGTCTGATGAATATTCTGCTTCTACCCCAAAAATAACAAGATAAGTAATATTTCATCCGTATCATAAAATATTCCTCTGATTAACTTATTATAAAAGGCTACATAGGATATGGTAATTGAGATCATTTACTAAAATTACTCCACCCCGATCGTGTACTAGCTTAAGCATCAAAAGGACTATGTTAGAAAACACATCCAACCTCAATCTTCGTATTGGTCGACCATAGAACAAGCATTTGAGCCCTCATTAGCTATCAAGCAAGCCACTTCTTCAATCACATTTTACTTGTTTCATGCACAGCCCTAAACCAAGTCGAGTTAATCCAAGTATTATTGATATCATCCTTATCAACCTAAGAATTCTTTCACACAAACAATGAATAAATTTTGTTGCTCCTTATCTAACTAGTGAATTCGAATTAAAAGTGAAACAAGATCAATATGGTTGTTTCAAAATAGTTGGAGTAATAGGGGCTGTCATTATTATTGTATCCAGATATATCCAAGAAGCAAAAAGAAACATCATTTTACCCACCAAATCTATCCACATCAAACATATCAACATCAAATCTATCCATCCAAGTCATTTAGATGAACAAGAAATACAAAAAAAAAAGGGAAAAGAATAGGTAGAGGTAGAGAAGGTTATCAGAAAAGCCACAGGGACTTAGAGAGGATAATTCGATGCCCAAAGAGAGGGTGAGCGGGAGAGGACTATTTATAGGTCGCGAAACTAACATAATTTAAACATGGTAGAGGGGTAGGCAATCGCTATCGTCGATCACGAATTCACGATGGTTCTAAAGGTGAGTCCTGTGAAAGTAATAGATCTTTCTTGATCGTCGTTCTTATCAAATATGTTGTGAGTTTACACTTCTAAATCTTAATTAAAAAATATTATAAAATTTTATTCTAGAAATATTTCCTAGCAAAATTAGGATTCAAATCACCATTAGTGATTATATTTATGTGAATCATTCCTAATCAAATCTATTATTATAGTTGGCTTCCTAAAATAATCCGTTGAATTGATTTCTAGTGATGGGCAACTTTTTTGTTAGATTTTATGATTATATTTATATATAACTCGTATAAAGAAAGTTTTAAATAAATTGGCATGTAAAGTATTTGATAAAATGTGTGTGTGAGCCTACTGTTGGTAACAGTCATTGCAACACAGGCATTGTTACAAAGAATAAGAACATCTTATCTCATCAACTCAGCATGAGCTGAAAGGTATTGTTGGTTATCTGTACTGTGACTCCAAGGCTTTCTATCGCATAACAATACAAGGATTGATGTCATACAATACATAAACTGGCTAAAATGACTAATGCTTGAGGGAGCTGCTAGGATTTTGATGGGGGGAGGTCATCCTGGGTGAAAGGTTTACAAACTCCAGAGCTTGTACTCTGACTTCAAATGGATAATCTGCAACGCATCCAATTCTTGGACCAGCGCCGCTGCACCATTTCGAAGAAAGCTGATGACCCAACTGGTAAGAACTTGCTTTCCTCTTCGAATTGAGCCTCTCCAATATCACCTTCTTCGGCACATCGGCTTTCGGACTCTGAAGGCCACCGCATAAGGTTTGAGCACCGCTAGAAGCTTGTGAAGTCACTGATGGCTCTGCATTTGTATTCTTCTTTACTTCGGTAGGTAGAACTAGTTTTGGTGTTTTGGAAACTTTCATAGCTTCAATCATCTCTTCGAGCTGAGACCGTCTCTTTTCAACATAGTAATCATCATTTGATGACGAGGATATCTGAGGATTATGTAAGGTAAAAAGAAAAGACCAACAGGATTATTCTGAGAATTAATTGTCAATACCAGCTGGATAGTTAAAAATGAATTGTGAAAGCAGCATACCTTAGTTTCATTCAGATTAACCCCATTTTCTCTGAGAAAGCTTAAGAAGCTGTTGAAATTCTCCTGAGTTGGTCGGTAATGCCCACTGTATGCTGAAATACACTGTAAAATGGTAAACCTTAGTTAAAAAATATTTTCTTAGCAGAAAGTAATTACTCTGTGGTAAACTCATAGGAGGATAAGGTACATCATTATAACTATGCATGACCAATCATATTTAGTTGGAGAGTGAAAAGGAAAATAAAGACAATGTTTGTTTAAAGATAATAAATAAATAGATCGCATCATACCATCAAGATAAGTTTTTAAGTGGCTTGTCATTGGCTAAATTTTAACAATGAGCTGATAATCATGTTTTTTGAGTCTTTGTGGCCTATGATGATCCTTAATGAAAGTTTTATGCATTGTATTTGAGTAAGGTTTTAGATTAGACAGCATCAAAGATGCACAGTCACATACATATAGCAGCTACTGGGTGGTCCGTGGGCATACAGGGGCACAAACAAAAGCAAATGGGAAGTACAAGTTTTGGACAAAATGTCAAAACACATACAAAGAAAGATATAATTGTCTGATGTGCCATAGCCAACGAGGAAAATGCAAAGGCTTCACAAGAGTTGCTCAGAGAAAACTTGTAGGTTCATTCCAATGCTATGACATGAAACAAATTCAATTTATACCAATGTCAGAGATCATCTGCCAATAACCTGATGAAATTGTCTTTGCTATGGTGATGTTCATCTCAGTGAGTGGTGCACCAAACTAGACTTAACTGTATGCAACGTTGTCTCTTGAAAATGTAAATGATCTACAATATGATTCTTAGCAAACTGAAACTAGCTCGTGTAAGTATTTAAACAACTCCAAGAAGCAAGAGTCGAAGAAAGAAACAACACTATCATGCAGAAGATGTCAATTCATGATAAACATATTTATTCTGTTTGTGCATAAACCAAAATTAGAGAAATGGTTCAGTACAATGCAAGGTTTTCAATTTCGAATAATACCGCTTGGTACGGGCGGTATGTACCAGTCCGTCAGCAGACCGATACACGGATCGACCGTTACCGGGCAGTGTATCTATATATATGCACATATATATATTTATATATATATATATATTATAAAAGGCGACGTCGCCTTTCACTTCTCCCACACGGGGCGACGTTGCCGAGGTGACGCGACGTCGCCTTTTATAAAAATATTTATATTAAAAAATCTTTTATATATAAATATATATTTATATATAAATATTTATATGTAAATATATAAGATTTTTTTTACTTATATATATATAGCGACATCGCCCCGAATTTTTATTTTATTTTATTTTATATATATATATATATATATATATCGAACAGTATACCGCTCGATATACAGAATCGTACCGTACCGAGCGAATGTCGAAACTCCGGTACGGTATGATATTTCAATCCTTGGTATAATGTGAAAAAATCTTGATTGTTAAAATGTATTACCAATTCAGGAAACAAATGTTGCACACAGATAACCAAATGAACGGAGATGCAAGAATTGCCTTAAGATTAATATCATTTAAACTTCGACATCCTAGTTATTAAGTTCTGAAAAAGAATGAAGAATTTTTTAATGACTAAGTATGAATTTAGCATTCGAACTGTCTGGACAATTTAAGGTGGAAATGATTATATTACTGATTAGGTCACAACTAGCACCAAATACAAGATACAGAAGACAAAAAAATTACCTATAGATCAAGTAGATTTTTCTGGACAAAAAGTTCAGAGCACTGGATAAAGTTAGACAAAAGTTAGAAGGAAACTAATCTAAATTTCACCGTAGTCTTAAAATCAAACAGGTCTTGCGGCTAGATGTGGTATGAATACAAAACACTTCTTCCTGTGCTAGTTTTTACATTCTTAAACTTGTAGTTAATCCTTTTGCAGAGAACAGGTAATGAAGCACCCTCAGAATTATATTCAAATTCAAATTATAAGCAGATTTATAATTGTAAGATCCATGTAAATAACAAATAATTAAAGTACATATTGTATCACATGTGTTGGAGTGTGTTCGGACTGGGAAAAAGGTACTGATTTGCAAGAAAATATGAATATGCAGAATATTTATAGATGCCAGGAACATTATTGTAAAATTTTGCTACCTTCAGTATCCCATTTTCTGCAGTGAATCTTCCAGCTGCTATAGTGGCTCCTCCAGCCAGAAAGCTGGAATGGTGAAAGATTCCTTTCTTTTTCTGCATTAGTTCAAAGAGCAAGTTATTGACTTGGAAGGGTCAACCAGAAGAATAACACAACCTTCTTAATCACGGTAAATCAACTATCTATGCAGGAAAACTCGTGGAGTTTGATAATTTACCTGGCCAGCATACAGTCTCCGGGATGTGCTCATGACAAAAATCCATTTTGTTTCTTTGGTTCCTGAGGTGGTATCAAGAAGCACTCCAGAAAGTTTGTGGACAATTTTACCATCCAGTGGGATATATTCATATTGCTCTCGTTCTTGCTGAAAAAAGTTGAAACAGTTCACAATTTAGAGTTGGCACTGCAGATAATAGAAAAAGTAGCTGAAAGTATTTTTAGCATGCCTCTGCCAACAATTGGGACTTTGAAACTTGGTTGTTATGTTTTCCACTGTCAATAATAGAGTAGTTCTTGGCAGCCTTTCCCAAAAAAGTGGCATATTTTAAGATATAGAATCATTTTAATATGGTTGAAGCACTTTACTCCAGGGGTGATGCATCTTTACAATTCTTCAGAAGATTGTGTATGTCATCTTCTAAAATTGGAGAAGCATCCTTGCCATTTGTTATCTACAGAAGGAGATTCAGCTTTCATCAACTTACTCGTCTACCAGGAGGAGGAAATACTAAAGCGCTTTTGGGTTCACTAATTTGTGTATGACTCATTTTAGGATATCATATTGCATCAATCTTATATGGAGACCAGCTTTCTATCGCCTTCAGAAGAAAATGCATTTTAGTTTAACTTAATTATTTCAGGGGTCCAAACAGATGCCTAAAAGGAAAAAGATCTTACAGGACCAAGATACTTGACACATTGTTTCCGAAGTAATGATCTTGGACGATCTATAAGGTCCAAATCTCTGCCATCACCAATGTCCAACCTGCATATGTGTCAAACAAAATTATATTTAATAAAACAATAGAATAAATAGTTCAGCATTTTACTAGATAAAGTAGGTCATTGGTGGAATCTATCTCCAAAATTGATCATTTAACCAGGTTTACAGATAGTTCAAAAGAATAAAGAATGCCACTTGATCTCTAAAAAAGAATTCCAGGGGTTTTGTTCTCCAGACCATCTGAATTTAAAGAAATGCTGGACATGCAGTATATGCTCAATGAATACATTTCTGCATAATGCAAATAGTCCCGTTTAAATCACATTTCTACTTACCAGACTATACCAAGGTAAATCTTCTTTTATTCTAAGAAGGAAGAGGATCTGTGACAGATACATTTCAGATCCATCCTTCATCGCTGACAGATTTTGCAGAAAAAAAGTTGCGAGGAATTCAAGCACCAGCCAAGGCAAAGTCTAAAGCTTCTGGGGCTCTCTTTTCTGAACTATGTAGTAGAATGATGATGGTTTTGATGCCTACCAGTAGAAGAAGGGCTCGCCAGCTTCACTTTTACACCATTCTTCATAGTAAAAGTGCAAGTTATGCCCATATCGATGTCTTGGATCAATCTAAAATGCAAAATTAGATAGATTGGTGAATAACTAACCAATTTTCATATCCAGGATAGAAGCATAACTTTCAGGATTCTATATTAATTTAGGAAGAAAAAATTCAAAACCAGACAAAATATTGATGAATTAAAGTGAAAGTACAACAAAGGTCAAACTTAATTATAATCTAGGAGACTTAATATAAATACCAGCTAAGGTCACAAGTGACACGTTATTTAGCTCTTTTTCACTCAGGAAGCAGAAAGACAAATTTTGACTTTACTGACCGTCTGCATGACTACAAATGTAAATGCCAGTCTACACCAAACAAGAACAGTAAAAGAGAAAAAGCAGAGGGAACTTTTCATGTACGTACGGCTTCAATCCAGTGCTGAAAAGCCAGTTTCAGAGCTTTGGCGTTCTTGGATAATCCTCGACCAACCTGCAAGCAACCAAAATATACCAATCCTTCATCATCTTGGTTTCTCGTAATTGCATTATAAATCGAAAATGTTGATTTAAATGTCTCTGATTGCTTCAAACAAATAATAGAAAGAAAGGGAGAAAAAAAAAAAAAGCAAGAGGAAGAACAAGCCTTGGAAGCATTCAAGCTAATCCGATTCCACCGCGAGATCGCCGTCTCGGGTTTCATGTGATCGAAGAACGACACCGTGCTGCGGTTGAGCCGAGCGAAGTCTATCGCCTGCCACCTTCCCAAATTTCCCAAGCACATAAAATGAAATTAGCATCCAAAGATCAAACACAATAAGAAAGGAGGAAGAAGAGAACGGAAGAATCTCGACACCCACCAGAGCTCCTCGGCCACGACGGCGGAGTCCGCTAACCTGCGGCGGGTGCGGTAGCTCCTGTACACCTTCTGAAGCCTCGTCGCCGCCGTCGACTCCGGCGGGTTCGGAGAGAGGACGTCCTCCGGGAAGAGCAAACCATCATCGCCCGTTTCCATCCGGAGGCCCTCACGAGTTTCTTCCGAGGACGGAGGCGCCGCGGGGCGGAACTGCGCCGGGGCGTAATCCGGGCTGGATTTGGGAGGATCGAGGTCCATGGAGAGCGGGAATGCGGGCGGAGAGTGATCGAAGCTACTGCGGATGAGCGGGACTACCTCCACCTCCATCGATCGGTTTACTGCGGATGAGCGGAACTTTTCGCTATTAATACACACAAGAAAACGAGGAGTGAGAGCGAGAGCGAGAAACTCGTGCAGCCGTGAGCGAGAGCGAGAGAGAGACAAGCCGGTCCACCAGCCGCCACCAACGCATGCAGGCGTGGGCGTCGGCGGCGGCGGCAAGGTTACAATCAAAGCCGACACGATCCACCGCATCTCCAACGCTAGCAAGAGGTTTCATCGATTTGATCGCTGCACGTTAGTTGATCTTTTCCCTTGTCACAATCAAACCCACTGTTGTTTCAATTATTGCAATGAAGGGCTATTTATAGATTTTTTTTATAATTAATTATGTTTTATAATTTTAAAATTTATATTAATATTTTTTTATACTTAAGAAAATAATCTTTATATAAGATTAATAAAATAATTTTATAAAAATAAAAAATAATTAATTAGATATTTCACTTTCGAAAGATGTCAATGCAACTTTTGAAAGTATACAAATCGAAATATTAAAGTTATCTAATTATAAAAAAAATCTATAATTAATCCTACTATAATGGATGATTTTTTAAATAATTATAATATTAATTGAAAGAGATACAAAGAGCTTTAGAATTGAATATTTACGTCAAGAAGCTAAAATGAAAAGGTCAATATGGAGGTAGATTTGTGATTAGAATTGAATACGGAGGGCATTAGTTCATTTCTTCTTCTATTGTTTTATTTAGGACTAAAATTTCTAAATTAAAATCATATCTAATGATCCAATCACCTCCGCAAGCAAAGTCAAGAAAACAGGAAGAGAATCGATTAATAGCAGTTCAACGATTTAAACGTGAGCGCCTCGAGCGAGCCTCACGCCGGACTTCCGCGGTTAGTTCGTTCATTGCTCCGTTCCCAACAACACCCTAAAGCTTTGTGGTCGGAAGAAGACGGTGTTCAGCTCTCAACGTTTAGCACCTGCGTCACTTGATCACCCAAGCGAGGAAAACCACACGCATCTCGCTTCATGTTGGACCACGAAAAAGATTCCAGATGGTTGCAGAGACCACGTCGAAGCTTTCGAGCCGATCATCACCTGCTATCAGAGCGAGAGAGAGAGAGATGTGGAGTTAATTGTATGTGGATCTTCCACACGACACGCACGTTTTAATATATGTCGAGTTTGACTGCCATGCAGTAGAGATTCCGAAGCTTTCGATGGAGAACACACAAAACCCCATGAGCTGCTCATGCGTTTTTGCTGATCACCAGGATAAGCATTCAGACTGGAAGCTTCGTTTTTACTCTCCGCCCCTAAAGCTAACCAAGCAGACAGCAACATGAAGAGCTTGTGGAAGATTTGTGTTCTTCCTATTCTGCTTCAAGCTCGTGAGTAAATCATGGGTTTAGCTTCTCTCTCTCTCTCTCTCTCAAAGATATCCTTCTCAGCAATGGAGTTTGGCCACAGGAGTGGCTTTTGGTGAAGCACTCGGGTGAGCTGCTGACCTCCCATGCTTAGGAATTCATTGAAATGACACTAATTATGGAATGATTAGGAATTCATTGCAATGAAACCTGAAATCAATTTTGTTTTAAAATGGGAATGAGTTAATTGAATCCCTCAATTTTTATTGTTTAATAGTTTGCATGAATCAATCCGGTGGAATTAAATCGTGATCGGTTTTATATTTTACTCAAAATTACTTAAATAGTTTTCATTTAGATATTTCTTATTATTACTTGTCGAGTGTACATACACCAATAAATAATTGGGATTGGCCTCTCCCTTCGATCATCCATTGCTCTCCACCCCTCCGCTTCCTCTCTCTTTTTCTCTTTCACCGTCCCTTTCTCTCCCTCTTGATCACTTTTCTATGGTCGATCGTTTGCGTCGAGAGTGATGCAATCTACTTTTTCATCAAGAAAAAACATCAATATTCACGTTCCAATCATCAGCATTTTGATCGTGTTGCTCACGAATCCATCACTCGATATGGTAGACCCGATTAAAAGCAAAACCAGACCTTATAGAATATTATTCAAAATCAATCCTTTCTAAAGAAATTTAATTGTATATATTGATGAACACATAAGATAATTAGAGAATATTTTATTGCTCACATAAATATTTCGAGTACATTTTCAGAATTTCTTTTTTGGGAATATTTATCACGGACCACCACCAATTCTACTTGTAGCAGGTGAGCCACCCCAATAAGTCTCCAATAATATAAATACCTTCCCTTCCACTTATCTTGGCAGCTTCTGCAGCGTACGTGAATGGGAATGCCATAGAAATATCCTTAATCCTGTCATCTCAATCGTCCACTTTGATCTAAACAAAAAATCATATATACTAAAAAATTAGTTCAGGCATAATGCATAAGATGATGATTTTAGAGGTACCTTTGTGCCTCGCCCGGAGGATACCCGGCACAGGATTTGCGTTCGGTGGGGGTCCCGCCGTAAGTTCGCGGAGGAGGAAACCCTGCTATATGAAACATTAACCATATCAGTGTCGTTTAGAGGCCACAGGGGGGCCAAACTGTCCCCAATCATGTTGACCCGCCCAACCCACCAGAAATTTCCGCCGAAACCTATCTGTCATATATAACTGAAACCAGTATTTCCACAAGCGTCCAACCCGAAGATGTTATTGAGTGCCGCCAATTCGCCGAACCCAATCCCATCGCTGGCTCATCCTTCTTCGCCAACAGCTCCCTCCGCCCCATAACAACCTAAACCGCCTCTCTGCCATCTCCCGCCTCCCCTCGAACGGCAACCTCTCCGAATGCGATGAAGCGTCATGGTCTCAATGGCTGGACTATCGAACCCACCGAGGAGGATACGCTGAAACCGAACTGCTTCGTGTTTGAAAGGAGGCAGCTGATGTGTAAGCCTTCGTTTGGTCCTTAAACGCGCCCTCCGGATCACCCGCTGGGGAAGGTGCTCAAGTCTTCGGAAATGGTGCGGAGGACGGCGACCTCTTTAGCTCCGATGCTGAGATTTGGCCTCCGAACAGTCTTGAGGGCTACAGTGATGAGGAGCTTCATTCGCGTCCCTTTCGTCCTCCTCCTCGTGGTAGCCGCATTCAGCTGGCGCTCGGTGTTTCGCCGCGGCGTCACGCAGGCGCCCTTAGTCGACGAGGACGCGTCCCTGCTCGACGCCGAGGACGCGTCCCTGTTCGACGCCGAGGCCCTCAACGCGACCCTCTACAACCTCACCGACGCTGAGGCCGGCGGGGTGGAGCTGCAGCAGGAAGTGCTGGACCTTATGGGCGGGAGACTAGAATCCGTCTACGCCGCCGGCGGGCAGTCCCACATTATCTCCATCTGGCGGAGCATGAGAGGCGCAGGGAGTCGGCCGGGGCTTTTGGCCCGACTCCGGTTCCCCGCTCGGCCGGAGCACCCCGATCGCGGCCGGCTGTTCCAGGAGTTCCGCTGGCGGCTCAGCGATTGGTTCCTCGACAGTCGCGGACTCCAGCCGGAGGTCATGTCGGAGCTCATAGAGCGCATCAAGCGCCCCATCGATCGGCACTACGGGTACCCGCACACCGGCCGGCCATACGCCACCTGCGCCGTGGTCGGCAACAGTGGCGTCCTACTCAAGTCCGCACACGGCCGCCTCATCGATGGCCACGACCTCGTCATCCGCCTCAACAACGCCCGCACCGCGGGCTACCAGCAGCACGTCGGCTCCAAGACCACCATCTCCTTCATCAACAGCAGCATCCTCCACTCCTGCGCCATGCGCCTGGGCTGCTACTGCAACCCGTACGGCCACTTCGTCCCCATCGTCGTCTACATTTGCCAGCCAGCCCATTTCCTCGACTACCTCATCTGCAATTCCACCCACAAGTCCCCGCTGCTCGTCACCGACGGCGGGTTCGACACCCTCTGCATCCGCATCGTCAAGTACTACTCGTTGAAGAGATTCGTCGAGGACACCGGAAAGCACCCCATGTCGTGGGGCAAGTTCCACGACGAGAAGCTGTTCCATTACTCGTCAGGGATGCAGGCCGTCATGCTCGGGTTGGGCATCTGCAAGAGGGTGAACGTCTTCGGGTTCGGCAAGTCGGTGGATGCGAACCACAACTACCACACCAACCAGACGGCGGAGCTGAACGTGCTCGATTACGCGGCGGAGTACGATTTCTACCGCGATCTGGTCGAGCGGCCGCAGGCGATACCGTACCTGAGAATCACCAAAATTAAGGTCCCTCCTGTTGTTTTCTACCACTGAGATGCTGCAGCTAGAACAGTATTAGCACACTCAGAAAAGTGAGAATACATGAGGAGGAACAAGTTTTCTTACACTTATCTTTTCTTCTTAGATTCAGTCTTCAGAGAAATATGAGAAGCAGCCGGTCAAATGAACTGTAAATAACATGCTGATTCTTTTCTGATTCATGTTCTGAAACAGATAATGCTGCATTAGAAATGATAGAGATTAGCTTCCTTATGAACCGAGACACAATGTTCAGTTTTTGCAGCCATAACATGCTTGGATACATGCGTGATTGATGTGGAATGTGATTTTGCTCGTATCAGTGCTTCAATTTCCGGCATGAGTTGCCTGATCTAATACACTTGCAGCAGACAAGTAGTATCCGGGCTTCAGATTCACGGTCCATATCATCATTACATACAACAAATTCTACATTGGTACATAGATCAATTTATTTACAGAACATTCATCAATACACTCTATCCAACTCCCAATATAGCACGGCAGTAATATTTGGATAGAGATAAACTCTGGCCAACTCCCAAAATGATGGCAACATTTAGATCTGTGAAGTTTTCAGAACCATGGGAAAACAAGAAAAACTTGGAGCAGCTATTTCCATGCAAACATCAAAGTTATAGCTTATCACATAAAAAAAAGCAATCAAAGAGGCTTCAATGACAAATTCAAAGGCTTAATTCTAGGCAACAAAACTACATGCACATTGTAAAAGGATAGTGATTACTTGACTTTAATTGCCTCCCACTCATGGACAAGTAATTGGGAGGATTATATGAACCTATACCACTAATCCTTTAAAATTGCACAACTGTACCAAATCAACAATTTCACCTATAAAAAATAACATGCCTCAGAAACAGCTTTTGATTTCTGTTATCAGATCCTAAGGGATATGAAAAGATATGAAGAGCTAATGAACATTTTACCACCAAATGAACACAGAGTGCTGTCTCATCCTTCGGCTTGGTCTGGTACCTGTTCTTTATCGGCTCCCCACAGACAGAAATTAGTATTTAATTTAACATCACAAACATTTAAAAAATGAGATCTATCACTGTCTCTCTTTGTCAAACTCAAATTAATTAAATTTAATCATTCCATGCTGAGTATTTTGGGATTCTAAATAAATGGAGTCATCGTGATGTTGGAAATCCTAAAATTAAGGTTTGATTCTTCTATAAATAAATAAAGGTTTTGATAACAAGAAAAAAGAAATACTTTTAGTGTTATTGAATTTCTGATATATATATATATATATCAAAATTTATGTAAGAAATTTTTTATTTTCGATTTTTCTCACCTCCCTCTTTCTCTCTCT